CCCCCCCCCCCCCCCCCCCGAAAAACAACGGATGGACCTTAATCTGTAAAAACAGCACAAATCTACCTACTGAAAACTCATACAGCCATGTTCAATGCAGTTACTATGCTCAGAGATAGCCACCCTGATGGATGCTGGGGGCAAAAGAGTTAAAGACACATTCGCAATAACAAACTGAGTAACCATATGTCTTATGGAAGCACTCTTTACATACACGTTTCGGACCTGACAAGCATTTTACTTTCTACAGTCCATGCTGACTATATATTTTATATGGACAGACAGATAAACAAAAAGACCTGCATAATTATAGCACAGATTTGACTCTTAAAACAGCTTAAATCAACACATTCACTTCGCAAAATACAACACAACCACTACCACCAGCATTCAGCGTTTAACGAGAAAGCAAACCAAAATACCTTAATATAGTTGTGATGTTAAGTCAAGTGATCAAGAACGAAACGTTACAAAAGTCCATCAGCTGGCACTTAAGCACAGCTCCCAAAAAGTATAAATAGAAAGCAACCGACGAGAAGAAAGACGACTGCATGAGCAAAACTCTCTCCGAAGAGTTTAAATCGCAGCAAGTGGCGAACTTAGTTCGCAGAAAAACAGACATGAGAAAGTTTACTTCTCACAAGATAAAAAACTGACGTGGTTAGAAAGTCATCTTACAATTGGTGCCAATCATTTGACGTTTTCAGACCTACCCCCAACCCACACTCTCATGAGAGTCCTTCATTTGGGACAATGGGGGAGGGGGGAAATGAGAGAAAGAACTCATTTTAAGGCAATTTGAGTCTATGCCCCTGTTCAGAAGTGTTCCGCAATGGCTGTCTCAGACAATTACAGCCTCTCAAAGTACCAGATTTATTTATTTTATTTTTTTTTCCAAAACTGCTCCACTCCAACAGAATTGTGCAATATAGACCTATTTACCTTACCAACCCTTCCACCTCAGATACTGCAATAGAACGAACAAGCATAACTGCTCGACCTCAGCCTTTAAAACGTGATAAATCAGCTGCCACATACTCTCTTAACAAATTTAACAAATTCGTGCCCAGCCCCTCCCCCGAGTCAGCTCGAAGGTGTTTGTTAAAAGCATCTCTCCGCGATCTCCTGCCAAGCGCCGTTTTTGTTACAGGGATGGCGAAAAGCAGAGCCAGAGACGGAGGGGAAGGCTTCCTTATTAACAGCCGATTCAATTTGATAGCGATTAGCCCTTGTCAGTAAAAAAATTTGGGGCTTTCTTTTTTTTTTTTAAATCCGTCGGTTAATCTAAGGAGCCCAACTGCGCCCTTGTCACGGTCGTTCCAAGTCGTTACGGACTTTCTTCGGATTTCTGTCTCATACTTCAAGAATAAAAGGAGCAGGCAGAGCTCGCTACGGAAGGGTCCCTGCTTTGCGAACAGGTTAAAAACGAGCCGAAACGCGCTCCTGGCCTTCCCCGTCCTAGGTGGGTCTCCGATTCGCCGTCCCCAAAGGTCCCTAAGGGCACAGCGGGAAACCTCGGGCTTTCCCCTTGGGCTGCGAAGAGCCCTCTCTGCTCCCCCCTTCTCAGATCCATCTGCCGACACCAGCCAGGACGGACATGCCGGGCCCCGCCGACACGGGGACCGAGCGGCCACCAGGCAACCCGGGCCCCTCAGCGAGCCCGCCCCGGGCCCGGAGAGAGGGGCTGCCGTCGCCTTTCCCTTCCCTCAGGGCGGGGAGGATCGGGGAAGAAGAAGGCGCGGGGCAGAGCCCGCCGCCCTTCCCCTCAGCACCCCCTGCCCAGCGGAGCCCCCTGAGGGCGTCCCCCGCCGCCCCGCTCGCAGCGGGGGGAAGCCCCCCCTCACACACCCCCCCAACTCCACCTGCCCTCAGGCCAACCGCCGGCGCCCCCGCCCGCCTACCTTCGAGGACCGGCGGCGGCCGGCCCCGGTGAAGAGGTTGGCGGGGTTGCGGTAAAGGCGGGCGGGCTCCGGCTCTCCGCCGGGCGGCTCGGCGGCTTTCCACACTCGAAAATGGCGCCCAAACGGCGAACTCGAACCGAAATTCGTTAGAAAAGCGCGGGGCATGCTGGGAAGGGAGGGGGCCGGCCTCCCGCGGGTTTGAAAGGAGGGAAGTAAAAAAAAAAAAAAAAAAAAAAAAAAAAAAAAAAAAAAAAAAAAGCCCCGCTCCCGCGCCATCTTGTTTTCCGTTACTGCGCGGACGGGCTGGGCGGGATAGGGAAAAGAAAAAAAAAATAAAAAAAATTAAAAAGTCTTGTAAAGCCCCTGAACACAGAGTACCTCCTAACCCATCCTGTACTGTGCAGTCAGCTGCTAAGTCAGGAAGCTCTTACTGCTGAACCCTCATCTAGCCATACGCTGTTCTCACTTGCCCCAACCATCTCTCTCCTGTTTTCCCCTCTTCATCTACCCAGCCCACCCAATTACTGTGTTGACATCCTTGGTCCGTCTCGCGGGAAGTCGCCATAGAGACGGAGCCGCTTGGCCCCGCCGCTGCTGCGGCGCCGCGGGGACGGGGAGGAAGGCGGGATTAGCGCGGAAGCCGCCGGGGCTTGGGAGCCGGCCGCCGAGGGAGCGGTGCCCGCCGCTCTGCGCTCTCTCCCTCCTGCTGCCGGCGCAGGTAAAAGCGGGCTGGAGAAGAGGAGGAGAAGGAGGAGGAGGCGGCGATCCTCCCCTCGCCGTCGGGCGGCAGGTCTGACTCACCGCCGCGGTGGGCGAGAGGGTCGGGAGCCGTGACCCCCGGCTCGGCGTGGGAGGCGGGATGGGCTGAGGGGAGCGGGAGGCAGCCGGGCGGCCCTGAGGTAAGGGCGGAGGGAGTCCCGACCTCCCCGGCTGCGGGCGGCCCTGAGGGGCACGGGCGCTGGGGCGCGGTGGGGATAAGCTGCCGTTTGGGAAGCTGGGAGGGAAAAGGGGGTGCTGGCACGGCCGGGGAGAGGGTTTTGCCGTCCGTGTGGTGCCCGAGGCGGTCCCTCGGGAGACGGGGGACCCCCCGCCTCAGGCAGACGGGGCGGCGAGAGCCGCGGTTCCCTGACAGCGGAGACCCGCAGCCGCCCCGTGAGGAGCCAGCTCCTGCCCCGCCACCGCCATCCCCGGCCTTTCTTCCCGTCCTGCCGCCTGTCTTTCCCTGCGCTCCCCCCCGGCTTCTTGCTCAATCTCCCGCTGCCGCTTCTGGTCCTCATCGCCTCCTTCGGCAACTCCGGGGGGGAAAGGCTGAGGGGGGGAGAGGACGAGGAGGCCCCGGGGCAACCGTGTAGGGACGAGCTGGTCCTCACTGGGACCAAGGAGGCTGGGAGGAGCCGAGCCAAACTCATCGTGCCAGAAAATAACTCTTCGTTATTGCCCCGTCTTTTCTAAAAACTCCTAGTAAATGCTTTCAGCTAAACCTGCTGTTGGGCTCGTGTCGGAGCTGTACGTAGCGTGTGTGCCAGGGTGGGTAGTGATGGATGTACCTGTTGCTGACAGGAGGTGAGCTGTGCGGCGTAAGGGTGACCTTCTGCCTTTTAGGTGGGCATAAAGAGGCTTTAAGCCGTTTTCAAAAATCACAATAAAGTTCTGGTCTTGTCTTTGAAAGGAAAATAGCAGAACTCCATGTACTGGGAGCAGGGGGGGGAGTGTGAGCTGGAAGCTGACAATAGCAACGTGCCTGCTTGAAACCCTGAGAGGGAAATGATCAATTAAAAGCTACCAAGCAGCAGCTGGAAAGGTGGGTTTAGCAAGGTTTGGCGTGCACAGAAAATAGAAGCAGATAAGAACCACGTGTCCAAATAAACACGAGGTATTCTGTTAAGCAGGAGAGATGCTTACATTAAAGTGGAGAATAAATCTTTAATACTGTTTTGCTCCGTGCTACTTCTTTGCCATATACAGATCTTACTGTTTATGTTTGGGGGTTTAGCTTTAGAATTTGTGGTGCAGAGACTGCAACATTGAGGTGCCTGCTGAATGGGTATTGCAGGTGCTGGACAACGGCATTGCCACTCTACAGAAGTCAAGGACATGATTAAAAAGCTACTTTGAAAGTTTAGCACGAACTTAGGCCTGTTTTAAATGCCTTGATGATGAGATTCCCAGTGTGGTTTTTAGAAGGAAATTAAACATTCAAGTATGAGAGAGTTATTTTAAAATAATTATATACGGGTGTGTTTACCAATTGACACAGAGTAGGGTTGAAAATAAATTATTTTATTCTTTGGGCACAGAAAATTATATGTTTTAGGGCTAGTATCCTTTTAATGCTTCTTAAATTTTACATAGTAGCTATTTGACATGGAGTCATTTTTATGGTGAAAAAATCCCAGAAGGTTGAAGGGCACATTTGTGCATCATGGTGGTCTCCTCAGAGTATACCTTCTGCTCTCACCCTCTTGGTCTCACTTTCCATCCTGGAAGACAGAAAAGTTTTAACCCTGATCAGTGCCTCTACCCTGTCCAGGCACAGATGCACAAAGGCTTTCACAAGAGGGTAAGAGGATGGGACCCCAGTGATCTGTTTATGGAATTACTGTGTTGCAGTAAAGTCCTGTGGACAAACAGGGGAGGACAGAAGACTAGGACGTTGTATCATTTTCTCAGGGCAAGATTATTTTCATAGTATGACTTTTTCCCCTAAATTTTCTCACAGTGCTTTTGCTAAGCATGAAGTTCCTTAAAAAGTTTGCGATTCTAGGTTTTCCCTTGCTACCTTCATGCCTATATGTCAGCATAAGAGCACTTTAGTGTTTCAACCTGTAATGTTTCAGCAATATGTACCTGGCATCGCTTGTTCTTTAAATTGTCTGGTGTGTTTATACTAAATGATCGGGTAAGTGTGGAGTTGGGTACTATACAAAGAGAATTCCCTTAAAACTGAGATCTGTTTTGTTGTTTATTTTGCCACAATACTAATGTAATATTACTTATTTTAAAACTTTCTATTTTGGTGTTAGTGTCTTCCTTTTTAATTTTGGCTACTTATATATGTGTTTGTTTTGTTTTATTACAGTTACGACATACCTACGTATCTTTTTTTAATGTTCCATCCGAACAACTGAAATGAGACTGAAGACTTCACTTTTAAAGGAACCAAAACATATCCTTTGCTTTAGAATAAACTATAGAAAAACATGTTAATTCTGAGTAGCCTTTTTTTCCAGAAAGACTGTCTTCATCATAAATGTCATAGTAAAATATTTGTAAGTTGCAGGTGGCTTTTTTTTTTTTTTTTTTTCTTTTTTTCACCTAGCCATTCAGTGCAGCCTTTAAGGGCAACATTTTAGGAGATGTTGAACATTCTTAGAGTAGTACCTTCACTTCAGAAGCTATCAGCGTTTTGCTAGAAAGTTTTGAGGTTTTCTTTCCTTTCTTATATGAAGTTAAAAGTTAAAGGGTCTTTTAACTTGTGGTCTTTCCCAGACCGTAAGGAGGAGTAGTGATATATCTACTTCCTTGTAGTAAGACATGCAGTTATAGCATGAAATTGTAGCAGTTATAAATGAAATTGTAATTCTTCCACTAAGAAGTTAGATATGTCAACAATTTAAATATGATGTGGTGTTAATAAACTGGCACGTTTGAATGACATTTGGGTGTTTTGCACTTGCATTGTGCACTAAGACCGTTTTAGAGGTAACCCAACATTTCAGCTGTGTTTCAATAAGTATGCATCATAATAAGAATTATGTTTTTCCACAATCCAGTTTGTTTTATTTTTTGCTGATTTTCGACCAGCTCTTTTCTTGAAGCCAAAGAGCAAACTAAAAATGAAGAATTCTATTTTCTTTTTATAAAACATTCCATGGAATTTTATCAAAATAATCTTCCTGTACTGTTCCTTCAGCTTTGTTTAACCTAGGTGAGATATTTTGTAAGCTTATTTTAAATAATTAAAAAGTTCATGCTTCCTTAATTTAATTAAACATAAAGAATTAGTTAGCTGTGTGGGATGGACTACAGCTGATGAGCTATATTCCTGCAGTGATGATCACCAAATTATGAAATGGAACCTTTTAACTAGTGAGACTACTCGAGTAGTGAAACTCCCAGATGATATTTATCCCATAGATCTTCACTGGTTTCCCAGAAGTATAGGTGGGAAGAAGCAGTCCCATGCTGAGAGCTTTGTTCTCACAAGTTCTGATGGTAAGTCCATTTAAAATACCTATAATTTCACTATGTGCTTATGTCACTCAAATACATGAGAAATGATTTGCGGTAAGTAATGTGCAATAAAACCAATTTCAAATATCTGTGCAGCAGATATGTGTAAAATTAATAGTTGTTTCAAATTTAATACATTGTACAATTATAATTTTCTCTGATACAACGTTATCAAATGTACCTCTGACAGCAGATATGTAGTTTTTTTATGTAAGGTCAAGTTCTACCATCTTTTTTCAGTTTCATACCCCAGTAGCTTGCCTACGTAGGTACTGTATCGCACACAGTTATGAAAACTGAGGATGACCAAGTTACTGAGATTGCTTAACCGTGATGTTTAATATCAATATACTCTATTTCTTGGACATGTTACAGGAGCGTGTCTTGTATCTGGCTTCTGCGGAGTCTTGAATATCCCTCTGGAGCATCTAGTTCTGGCTGTTGTGAGAGATGTTAAGACTAGGATATATGTCTGCTATACTGGCAGATGTATATATACATGTGTATGTCCAGTATGCTGCTATTTGTCCAGTATACTAGTGTACTAACACTGGACGACGTGATCCAATACAGTAGCTACTGTATTCCAGTGTATGGCTTATGTTTTGTGGAAGGGAGGTGGGACAAGGTTTGATGATTGCTTGGGGTTTTTTTCTCCCTCTCCAAAGAGGCTGGCAATTGATTTTGCCCGATTTGCACACAGACACATTTTTCTTCCTGCGTGAAGGCAGATAAATCCTCAGTTCAGTGAAGAAATCTTAAGTTACTGGTTTCATTATTATTTTACATTTATTATGAAGCAGTCCATACTGTTCAGGTCAGACTTTGTCTCCTTTCTTCTCAGGACTGTAACGGGGATTATGTTCCCTGCCATCAGGATTTTTCTGTGCCTATTTCCCCTTCCTTTTCTTCCCTTATTTCTTTTCTTTAAGGAAAAACATTTGAACTCTTTTCTTCTTGATCTTATTCTTTGTTTGAAAAAAATGCAGAAAATAATGGTAGAAATAAATTTTCCTAAGTCACCTCCCCTTTATTTTTGTTACAAAAAACCTACTATGTGGAAGCCCTGTAGTTCAGATTAGAGTGTTTGTTCCTGAATCTAGTTTTTAAAAGGGGTTGATCCTCTCTGAAATCTGCTGATTTACATTCGCCTTGTTATAAAAATTGTGTTGGAATAAAAGCTCTGCTAAGAACCAATTCTTTTGTGTCGACTGGGACTGCCTGACTGACAATCCCCTGTCAAGAGCTCGCCGACGGGGTTGGTGTGTTAGTTTGTGAATGATTTCTGCTATTTTCATGCCTTACATCCAAGAACTTGGCATACAGGTGACTTGGAAGAGCTGTATGACTTGCAGAAATGTGACAGCCCTTACACGTCTCCTATCTTTTTATACCTGTGTGTTTTACTCAGTTAATAATGCTGTTGAAGGTTCCACAGTAAATTAAATTATCTTGCTGGTAGTAGTAATTATGTGCCACAAAGAAGCAGATTGCATCAACATACTAAACTTAGTTTGTATTCTTTTGTCAGCGGTCAAAGAACTTGGTGGTAAAGCTGTATTTCTAAACAAATGGTAGTGTTGGGAGTTTCTCAACGCTGAACTGAAAGCAATGTGCTGCTCTAAATCCCTGCCAGCTTTTTCAGGCTGAACAGATCATGGTCAATTGTTGTAGAGAGTTTCCATCAGGATAATAGTGGCCATCTGCCCATGACCCTGTTGATAGCTTTCACAGGGACCTATTGATAGTTTTAATGGGACTGATGGAGAATTTCCAGCTAACTTTTGCCCGTGTTTTGGCCAGAACCTTAAATTTGTGGGTCTAGTGTGTTTTCTTTGGTGAGGGGAACTTATTGTAGACTTTTGGCTAGCTTCACAGCGAGCTTGATTGGGAACAGAAGGTTTGTTACTGGGCATTAGCAGTTTGGAGCTGATAGGTCCAGCATGGCTTCCTTTGAGATTGAGAGGTAATAAGTATTTGAAGAAGGTAGAGGAAATTCATTGCTTGCATGAAATTTTGGAGATTTCTCTGACTTTTGGCAAGGGTTGCGCTTTAAAATTAGGAGGGCTGAGAGTTCAGTTCACGGAGTGGAGGCCAAGATTTCTTCAAGATATTTAGTGCTTCCTAAATGCACTGAACTTATGGAACAAAAGCGGGACATCTTCTGGCTCCCTGCCACTTCCTAGATAGACGTGGGGAGGGAAGTTTGACCAAGTGGAGTTGTAATTTTTGCAATACTTGATGCTGAACTTTTACTATTAATTTTAGGCAGCTGGGTTTAATGAGGTATTGCTTGTAGAGCTCTTACGGTGGAAGTGGAGGCTTTTGTCAAAACTGAAAGGGAAATTAATTTGTATCAATTAATATTTGCATGCATTGTAATATGCTTTGGGAGGGTGGGGTTTACCTAAACAAAGATGTTCTTCAGAACGTCAGTCAGTGATCAGTATTCACTCGGCTGATTTCTGTGGAATTTGTATTCTTTTCTGTTCAGTGATAAACATGGGGTGGAGGGATTTCAGTAGGTCATCTGGTGCTCTTAATTCCTTTCTTTTTTTCTCCTTTCTTGTACTTTCTCAGTTTTCACATTTGTATTTCCAATGTCCTGTAAAGTTCTAAATTGTATGTGTAAATAGCGAGCAAAAGAGTAGCTGCAGTAAGCCACATCTCCTGTTAATTTATTCAGTCAGTTTTCCAGTGTTATTAAAATAGTGTGGTAATATTTCATGTTCTGTTTGAATAACTCTTTGACAGTTGATTGAAGAAACATATAAGAGCTACTACTACCTTCATGAAAAAGATGACTTTTAAAACTCTGCTATGCAATTTTTTCTCTCTCATTTTTCTCTTTTTTTTTTTTTTATATCACTAAGATATGTGAGGAAAAATAAATCATATTCATAGGTATGTTTAGAGAGGTTGATTTTTTTTTTTTCAGAAGTGTTCAAAAATTAGCATGTTGCAGGAGGTGTACATTCGTGAGTACTTTAGTCTGTGTGAACCCACTGCAAATTTCGGTAAGATATCAGTTCTTAAGTGTAATGTCTAGTGGGTATGAATGCTTGCCCTTCTCCTGGAAGTGGATTAACTGAAACTACAACAAAGAGCTACAGTTTAGGAATAAAGACTCATGAATAGCACCATGTATAGGTAGGCCCCAGAATCTTTTCCAGGGTGCATTAGGACCTTTGCAATTAGCTACTAGAAGTTGGATTACTTTAAGTGACATCAGTCAATGACGGGTTTAAAGTGAGAGGTTCTTGGGTTCTTGCAGCTTCACAAATGTTTTTTCTTGCTGGGTGAGATTTTTAGTTGTGTGTGATCAACAATTCTAACCTGGTCCCTAATTATTAATCTGCATTTTCCTCGATAAGACTTTTGTGTTCATTTGCTTAGAATTTTTACCAAATGTTTTTAAGCTAGTTTAAAGTTATTATTCTAGGATTCTAGCTAGTGTTGAAGTATTTTAGAAAGATTTCAGCCACGAGACATAGTGAGAGGAAGGTCAGGAAAAATGCTCTCTTCTCCCTAACAGTAAAAAAAAAAAAATAAATAAAAGATTACTGAATGAGAAAAATTTCTGTGAAACATGTAAATGATTATGTAGTTATAACTCTCAAGTACCTATGAATTCTAACAGAGATAATCCATTCTACCATTGTCTAACTTTTGGAGATCAACTTGATTAACTTTCACGTTCTTTTAATGCAGCCCTTTCTTGCTTGCATGGAGCATAAACTGTTGTGGCTGTCTTTGCCAACTTTATTGCAGTGGCTTGGGCTTTTTGGGGGTTTTATTTTTCTTTTTACAAATGTGTAGGCCCTTCAAATTGTCCAGTTGTTGGCACATCCCTAAGGTTTATCATCCTAATGGTGGTGTAGTTGAGATGGAGATTATCTGATCAAAGTCTGCCATCCTCTGACTTCCCCCCTTTCCCAAGATGACACATCCTGTAGTTCTTCAAGTTAGATAATTTTGCATTGTTCAGTGAGTCGGGTTCGTGTTCAACCCTTGCATTCCTTTTGGACATCTGGGGCCTTTATTGCTATTCCTGTCATTAATTTGAATGCTACTGTTTTGCTTGCACAGCGCAGTGCAAAGTAGAACTGAGCTTTGCTGGATGAATTGCTATTAAAACTAAATGCTTTATGGTTGTTCCAGAGTGGTAGGAAGATAACATGATATTGCAGAAGGAAAATAGGATGTAATTTCTGTTTAAGTGAACAGAGTAAATCCCAGCATTTGTTTAGAGAATGCTAAATGTAAACAAAACTGAATGAAGAAACTGACCTAGAAGCTTCTGGGGTTTTTTTCCCCTTGAAGTTCTGTTTCCTAGGAAAGTGAGACTTCCATGTCCATGATGGTTGTTGTAGGGGGACTGGCTGGTGTGTCCTCAGTAACTTTGGAGCTCCTTGATGGATTTGATGGAAAAAGGCCCACTCAGGGGGCAGCTGTGGCAGGGGCTGCAGGCAATTGGGACAGGGAGGAGTTGTTGCACTTGCCCTTCCTGAAGGGCATTCCTGAAACATTCCACTGGGTTCCCTTCTGAGGCAGGAGGGAGTCCACCCACAAAAGGTCTCAGTAACTTTGGAGCTCCTTGATGGATTTGATGGAAAAAGGCCCACTCAGGGGGCAGCTGTGGCAGGGGCTGCAGGCAATTGGGACAGGGAGGAGTTGTTGCACTTGCCCTTCCTGAAGGGCATTCCTGAAACATTCCACTGGGTTCCCTTCTGAGGCAGGAGGGAGTCCACCCACAAAAGATAATTTGGATTGCTGTTACTTATGGAATGAGTTATTTTTGCCATAATTAGTTCACAGATCACAAAACCTGTGATCTGTAATTTGGATTGCTGTTACCTGTGGAATTAGTTATTTTTGCCATATTAGTTCACAGATCACAAAACCTGTGATCTTCAGGTTTTGTCTTGCACAAGTTAGCACTTTGTCTTCTTTCTTGTAGGGATTTTTTTCCTAATAACTGTTGGTAGGACTACAGGTAAACTCTTAGCATTGGTCAGTAAATTCATCCTGAACATTCAATTTCTGGAAAACTGTTCATGAGAGTTTGTTTTGTTTTGTTTTGTTTTTTTCCAATGAAATTGAAAAAAAAAAAAAACAGTGCTAACCTAATTTGTGAAAGAATAAATTGAGTTAAAAACTTAACGTAGAAAATTTCCAAGTTTTTATCTCCTAGTATAACTTACCTTACAGATTTTTTTTGCACATGCAAGTGAATTATTGCATTGTAAAACTTCACAAACAAGTCTTGTTGCTTTGATGCTATTTTCTCTTCAGGTTTTGTCTTGCACAAGTTAGCACTTTGTCTTCTTTCTTGTAGGGATTTTTTTCCTAATAACTGTTGTTAGGACTACAGTTAAACTCTTAGCATTGGTCAGTAAATTCATCCTGAACATTCAATTTCTGGAAAACTGTTCATGAGAGAGTTTGTTTTGAGGTTTTTGTTTTGTTTTGTTTTGCTTTTTTTCCAATGAAATTGAAATAAAAACCAGTGCTAACCTAATTTGTGAAAGAATAAATTGAGTTAAAAACTTAACGTAGAAAATTTCCAAGTTTTTATCTCCTAGTATAACTTAGCACTTTCAATACAGAGAACTTACCTTATAAAGATTTTTTTTGCATATGCAAGTGAATTAGTGCATTGTAAAACTTCACGAACAAGTCTTGTTGCTTTGATGCTATTTTCTAAAAATCTTACATTTAAAATTCTGTTTAAGTGTTACTTACATAGCATGCCTTACGAGTTTGTTTTGAGGTTTTTGTTTTGTTTTGTTTTGCTTTTTTTCCAATGAAATTGAAATAAAAACCAGTGCTAACCTAATTTGTGAAAGAATAAATATGAAATTGAAAAAAAAAAAAAACAGTGCTAACCTAATTTGTGAAAGAATAAATTGAGTTAAAAACTTAACGTAGAAAATTTCCAAGTTTTTATCTCCTAGTATAACTTACCTTACAGATTTTTTTTGCACATGCAAGTGAATTATTGCATTGTAAAACTTCACAAACAAGTCTTGTTGCTTTGATGCTATTTTCTAAATTTAAGTGTTACTTACATAGCATGCCTTATGTGTCAAGCCTGCAATTTTCCTGCAACAGCTAATTCATTTCTGTGATAAGGATTCCTGAAAATTTGCTGAATCCAATGGAAATGGAGTATAATGTCTTTACAGGGTTGCATTAATTCCTGGTTGAACTCCAGATGTTTGTGAAATTAGAGCAAACGTAAATTTAATCCTCTTGGGTTTTCTTCTGAGTCGCGTCTCTTGTGGGATATTGTTCTTTTACTTCCTACTTACATTGATCTTATTGTTACTTTTTTACAAAAATAAAGAGTATGTTCAACTTTAAACTGCTTATTAAGCACAAATCATAAGTGAATAGCCCTATTTTTTTCAACTTTTTATGTTATTGATAATTTAAACATTGAAGAGTCTATGAAAAGTAATGAACAAAACATACATGTTTTATATTCTGTATTTGAATAGGCTGCTAATCTCCCACTTGACTTTCCTCCAAAACTGGAGAGTCACTTTAAGATTAAGGGCAGCTTCTGGCTCCAGTACATAATAAAAATAAAGAAACAGTATTTTACAAATTTGAGATGTAAAGTAATATTAAATTGAGTCACTTCTGTCTCCGAGCATGCAGATAAATTTTCCCTAATTGTGCATAAGGCAGTAAGTTCTAATTTGAAAGCCTCTACTACCTCAATGATAAGTTGAAGAACAGAAGGCAGAGAAATCAATTGAAACGTTGATTTTGGAGCGACCTCTGTATGTGAATGCAGTGAAAAAAAGCGGTGTCTAATGAGTCACATAATTTGACTGTCATCAGTTGTAAATTCATATGTTGAAAAAATAAAGGAGTTGCCGAAGTAAAAATGATATCCATGATTTGGCCCTGTTCCATGTAAGGATTCTGATGCAGTTTTTAAGTGCACGATCGCATTTTTTCCAGATGAATCCTATCTTAGTGCTGAAGGTGGACCTGCTTTTATATGAAACTGTATTTGTATTCTTTCCTGCTAGGCTACAATTTACCGTGTTTCACTATTTGAAAGATGCCTTGTGTAAGCAGAGCTTACTTCGAGGAAGTAAGAGCTTGTGGAGTGGGAAAGGATGCTGCAAAAGATTGGTAAACGAGTTGAATGTTGCCCTGTATAACAGGATTTTATCCTGTACTCTGTGACATGGCCCATTGTTTTCCTGAGAATGTGACCTAAACAAAAGTATTAAGTTGCTTGCCAGCTGTCTGTTCTTTCATTTTAATTTATGATTTCTCTTATGTATTGAGGGGTTTGCTTACAGAAACATTGAGGTCTCACAGATTCAATAGATGAAATGCCATAGAATTCCTTGGGTCCTTAAAAATGTAATTCTGAATGTTTCAGATGGTATACTGAAAGGTGATGAGTACCTTTGAGTTAGATTTCTGTGTCTGTTAGCTCCTGATTTGCAAAGCTGCTTCTTTTCTCCCTGCACCCCAAGGGAAATTAGCGAAATATGTTCATAATGGCTATGAAGAGCTCAGCCACTTAATATGAATACTGTAGGTGATGGCATGAGAATATTCATAGTCCTACAATCAGATTAGGTTTAAGTATTCTACAATGAAAAAGGTCTTGGCTACAGATTGAACAAGTACACTATGCATTGAAAAAGACAGGTATCAGAAAATAAAACTTCTTTTTTAATGTATTATTTTCAAACAAAAAAAAAAAGCCATTTTGAGGATTTAATTGGAGAAAATAGCATCAAGCCATTAAATTCCTGTGAATCCAGTTATTGCTTATGCACAAAAAATTAGAATGTCATGCCTGAGAGATGTTCTGAAAAAAACCTGATGCATTAATTATATTAAATATGTTTTATAATTATAAAATAACATGATGCATTAAATGTAGAATACCAGTATTGAAAATTTTAGGAAACTCAACATTAACTGAATGAGGAAGAAATGGTCTTTAGTAATAATACTAGTTTTGTGAATTCAGAAAAAAATGGAATTAACTAGCTATTCAGAGTACTCTGCTTAATATGAATATAATTTATAAAGACAAGCTAAAGTGTGTATATGATATTTTAAATGGTCTGTTCAAATAAACAGATTTATATAAACTATAATTTTCTTCAGTGTTAAAAATCTTTTACTTGGAAATCTTGCATTGGCAGAGATTTGGCTGGATGATTGTGCCTTTTTGTTTATGTACTTAAAATGAAGACAAAATGTAATTGTATTCATTTGAATAATACTATGGAGAGCTCTGATGTATGTTTCATGGTTATTTACTGACAGACCTACCAGAATGCTTTTTCTTTGTTTTTAGTCTGGCTTTGTTTTCAAGGTTGGTTGGTTGGTTGGTTTTGTTTGTTTTTTAAACTGAAGTGCAAAATAAAACATGGGAAACCAGAACACAATAGCAGTTGATCCAGGTTTCTGGTGTGCAGGGCACTTAAATTTTGCCATCTTGGCTATTTTGTGCTTTGAATGTGCATGGAGTGTGGAAGTATCATGTGTTTTTACCTTTTATACAGTTCATGGTTAACTCCATTACCACCTGCATACACATAGAGGTCTTGGTAATATGGTCCTTTACTGAAACAGGTATTTAGTTTTTGGTTCTGGCTTATCAGGTATGGCCTGTTTTATAATTCATATTCCCAAGCAGAATGTTATTAATGGAAAAATTATCCTATCTGAAGTGGTGGAATATTTGCACACTTAGCCTGAGGTATCTGTGTACTGTTTATCTGAAAGAATTCTGGTCGCTCTGGAAATTGAATTGGCTCACTGTCTCTCAGATCAGGTAAAATAATTTTTAAAGAGTTTTGGTTTGAAAGTAGTTAATTTGAATCACTGCACTATTCTAAGCCATGCGTTTGTTCTGCCATATGTTTCCAAGTCCTCCTTTGTCTGCTCTTTGGTCCAGTTTAAATTTGATCTTCCTGGATTTAAGCAACATCCCTCATTTGGAAAGAAAGACTTCCTCATGCTTCTGTTGAAATCATTAATAGCTTTGTTTTTGGCTTCTGTGAATTTCCATAACAGCTCCATAATGCAAGCAGTGATACTTCCTCAGAGCAGCGCGCTCACCGATGGTCAGATTGTTCTAGCTTTTCCATTATCCTTTTGGTGCTGAGTGATTTTTCAGATCTTACAAAAAGAAAACACGAGGGCTCTCCTGGGCTGCGGTGTATATACCTCTGTTTGTTAGCTTTCAGACAATGAAATAACAGCAGGCAGTCGTGTCCCCAGAGAAACACGCAAACTTTAGAGGGATGTAAGAAAAATGAATAGGCAAAACAAAGATTATACATACCAAAAATAAAAAAAACCCACAACATTATTGCTAGTTTTCATGTAGTTCTTCTGCAAGAGCTCATTTGTTTGGGCTAATCGTAGCTATGAACAACATAATTGCAATGTTTTGTTCTTTGTTGTTGTTGTTGGTTTCTTGTCTTGTTTTGTGTGTGTATTTTTAACAGTTGATAACACCATTTCAGTAACAAATACCGATTCACAAAATTAGATCCCCTCTTTGTATCCTGAACTTTTGTTTAGGGAAGTTCCACTTGATCTCAAAGTTAGGAAGAGTAGAGAAAAGCGTGGAAGCGCACTGTGGAGCTGTACTTGCAGGAAGGTGGAATTATGAAGGAACAGCACTGGTCACAGGTAAGCATTCTTAAAGTAAAGAAGTGTTTTGAAAACTAAAATAACAGAAGAGCTCTTTCAAAATAAATCCTTTTGTTTTTCTAATATACAAAGTTGACATGCAAGGAAGAAATATAAGGGTACAAAAATATATTATTAAAGAAATTATGGAAAGTGCTTTCAAAAAATGGGTGGAATGTAAGTACTTTATGGGATAAATGCAGTAGAATGGTTTGGAAAAATAGTTTAATCTTTGACATGTTTAGACGATGTAATCCTAAATTTCAGGGTTTATATTGTAGTTACATTGAATTTGAATGAACGAAACTGAGTATTAAGTGTTCACATGCTGGTCTAGCTTGAAATTCTTATGTAAAGGGGGCAAGTGGAAACACAAAATCAACAATATAAATGAAGTTAGCTATAAGAAGTTACTTTTTTAATGTCTTCATCATCACTGGGGTTATTTTCACCTTATTTAATAGAACTTAATTTATACTATTTTATTAATGCTGTTTTAGAAGAATGTTGTCTATTTTAATTAATAAAAGATCTAGTAAAAATATTTATTTTTTTAGTTTCCTGTTTATTAGAAGTTATCCTATTTGTAGGTAACCTATCCTTGAAAGTAAATGGTTTTTAGTATCAGAGGGCTTAGATATTTTCATGGATGTTCTGTACTTCAGAATATTTAATTTTTCTTTTCTTATCTGTTACAAAAAAAGGTTGCTAAGTTGGTACATTTATAGCCCAGCACATGGCATTTGGGGCTTTTACCCCACAAAGTTTACTGAGGCCTCATGAGAGTCTTGAATGTTCCTGTACTTCTTTTCTTAAAGGAGTGGTGTAGATCCAGCTGCAGTCTAACCCTTTTCTATTGAGGCCAGGAGAGTGATCTCCCGTTGTCTGCATCTCTACATGTCTTTTTGTCCTAAATCGTTAGTAATTAGTTGCTTTTGGCATTTTTGTCAAAAACTTCTATCTTGATATTAAGGGGAAGCAAATTAAATTTCCTGTGATAGACTTCTCCTTTATGGGATTTTCGTTGGTGTCAGAATTTTCTGCAGCCTCCTGTTGATCTAGCACAGCTGATTTCTTTGGACAAATTCCAACTCAGTCCAGAAGTACTGAAGATAATTTTGGAGCTGCTTGTTTCCAGACTCAGTCTGACTCTAAAATGCTGCTTCAAGGAACTCTGTCTGGCATGTTCCTCTGAAATCCCAGTGGGATAGAAATATTGTTCTTTTTAAAGAGAGATTTGCCTCAGGAACTTCTCTAAAGAAAAAGTCAAAATTGCCTTTTCAATCTTTCTTTTTCATTTTTTTTTTTTTGGAAAGGCTGCATGACACTTAAAGGGAGTATGGGAATTCAGGACCATATCCAAACTGTGTCCTCTGAGAAGATCTTATACCACAAATATACTTTGAGGAAGAGTAAATCATTGATGATACTGTATCACTTAAAATATTATTGATGGCTCTATTTTAACAATATCAAATGTGCACAAATAAGATTTTTTAAAAAAATTTGTTACACTTTTTAAACACTTAAAAGCTACATTGGTGAGATATAAAAACCTAAAATCTGTTAAGTAAATTACCTTTGCATGGAAGAATGGCATAAAGTGTCCATGTGTACCTTTTTCCTCATTAATTGAATGTGGGAGGCCTAAATGAAGGCCCAGAGCTGTAAATTTTAAATATGACAGCACACTAGGAAATCTCTGTTCTTAATGCCTACATAACTACACTCTATAGTGTATAAGAACTTAATCTTTAATAAGTAAACTGAGTTTCTTGGTAACATGCAGTTATGTTATAAACCTTAAGCCTTCCAAACGGAGCCTTCAGTTATCTTCAGTTTCACCATTTATCAACTGTGAAGCCTCCAGTTTAATACAGAAAATCTGCTCCTACTCTCTTCAGACTCCTCAGAGACTCGTTTAATCAGCCTCTGGGCCATTGAACTGTAAATAGACAAAAAGTACTAGCAATGCTGAATAGAAAATACAGAATTTGGGATAGTTAAATAGCAATGGGCTTTCTCTTCCCAGGAGCAGCTTCAGATAAGAAAACTATAGGGATTTTCAGGGGAGGAGGAACTTCTTGATAATATTAAATATTTTTTCCTTTATATACTGTCTATTTGCATGTTAGGAAGACTACATAGATGATATTTACCTGTAAGAAGACCTGGATTTATTTTCACCCTAGTGTTTCTTAAATAAATACAAGTGCCATGTTTATTAGAATTATTATTGCATTTAAGTTGATAATTTCTGTAATAACTTTACAGTTGGTGAAGATGGCCAAGTGAAAATCTGGTCTAAAAGTGGAATGCTGAGATCCACTTTAGCTCAGCAAGGTAAGTTAATTTTCTTAAAGTTCCATTACAACTATTTAATTTGGGTTATTATGAAATATATTTAAATAACAGTCCCTAAATCTGGCAGTAATAGTTTAAGGATCTTACAGCCTAGATAAACTTAACTCAAATTAACATAAATCATAGTTGAGTACAGGGGAACTGAACTTGTAATAAGACCATTATCTTTAAAAAAAAATCTAAAAAAAAAAATCTTCAAATTGAGCGTATTATTGCAACATTTTTATACAATGGTTTCAGTTCCACCCTAAGGATTCTGGAGAGGCTAAAGAATTAAAAAAAAAACCCAGTTTTTGATACCAAGCCACAGACTCTGATGGTAAAACTGAAAAAAAAAAATCTCTAAAAGTATTGTAAGAATGCTTGAAAAATGCGAAGTGCATGTAGATTAGTTCCTCTGAACTTTAAAACTTAACGGCCCTTGGTTCATCTCTCTGTTTAACCCAGTAACTAATTTAGTATATGCAAACAGTCCTACTGAAGTGAAACGATCCCTGTGCTTAAGTTCTTTGTTGAACTGGGGCCATCGAGACCTAACCTTGATCTTGGCTTTGTCACTACAGTTTTATGCATGCTAGAGCATTGCAGTTATTTTTATAAGTTATATAGTCAATTTGAAATCACATTATTGTGAAGTGCAACAGTGTAAGCTGTAAATACATATTTATACAAATTATGTTTGACATTTTTAAAATGCAATTTTTTATAATCATAATTTCTAACATTTTTGTACTATTTCAGTGAAGATACTGAGCTAGATTTTGTTTTTCAGACTTCATACATTAAGATCATGTGACCTTTTGACATTTTTTAAGAAACCACATGCACCTGGGGTTGGGTTAAATGTCAGACCCTTATCTCTTTCTAAAACAAATTATCTAAATTCTTTCAACCTGTTGAAGGCATTTTAACCACAGGAGTGAATGTAAAATGTATTTCAATTCTGGTAAGGAAGTTCATATTCAGATGTAGTGTTTTTTCATGCTTACAATGTAGAAAGATAAGCCAACTGAACTGCAATTTTTGAAAAAAAACACAACAAACCAAAAAGGAGCACACACTATTCACTATTTCTCAGTTGATATATTTCAAGCTTTTTTATGTTTAACTGTGCTTATCTTGAGGTTTGATGAAGCTTATAAAGTAAGAGACATATTCTAGTTTGAAATATGCAATCTGCGTTTTCATTGATTCCTTAGTGTTTCTGGTACAGTATAAAAGTACAGTTGAGTCCCCATGGGATAATTGTCTTTGATTTTGTGTTTTAAGATAAAATTCTGTGAGGCTCAGAAACCCTTTAAACTTTAATTTTATAGAATCAAATTCCCACAGATCATTCTGTAGCTACTGACATATCTGGGATCATGACAGGATTCTGCAGAAATTGTTATGTTTTTTAAGAGAGGTATATCATGTTTAAGCTAATTTTTTACTTCCTTTATTGTCTCCTTGAGAAATGAAAGGATCCCCATTGCTAACATTCCTTCTACTCATTCCACTCTTTGTATTAGAAATAAATTTTCAGGCTCTTATCTTTGGATGATGATCCACACGCCTGTTCTGTCTTTGGATTTTTATTCACTACAAAAACATGAGCGTATGTTTTCCCCATTTTTAACTTTTTCAGTACATATATGGAGAGCTCGGGCCGCATGTCCCTCCATCATTCCAATGCATGGAATAAAGTTAGTGTGACGTCGTAGCCTCTACTGCATTCAGCCTTGAGCTGTGATGTTGCTGTTGTGGCAGTGTTGTTCCTTGAGACTGATCTCACTTTTTCATCCTTAGATTATCTTAATATTCTTCCTTCTGTTCCTCCTTTTCCTTAAAATGAAAGCTTTTTTAAAAAAAATGCTGTAATTGCAACCCCTTGGGCTTCTAGCTGACACAGGGCACTGCTACATTTTAAAGAGGTAAATTTTTTTCATGGATTTCTTTGGTATATGTTGGTAACCCACAGGATTATGCTTAAAGCAGGATTTGTCTGTGTATTCTGGGATGTATACATTGCAGCATCACGCTGTGCTCAAAGCGTCCATGTTCCTCTGAAGAGAGCCACCGAACTGTGAAGTGTAGCAAGTATTGAAGGTCCACAATTGAAAGAAAAGATGGCTCTACCAGCATAAATTTTTACGGTGCTTTGTAGACTCTGGCACTAAGATTGTCTGAGGTGAAGTCTGTAGTGTCAGTGGTGCCACCTGCAGTAACTGAGTCCTTCATAGGCCAACCATCTGGTTAGTAGGACCTGTGCTGAGCCCACAGCGGCAGAGCTTCTCTTGAGATATCTGTCTAAAATTGACACTGCTGAGGTTCATAGACCACTGGCTCTCTAACCCTGCAGCAGCAGAGCTTCTCTTGAGATGTCTGTTCCAAAATTGCCACTGCCGAGGTTCATAGACCACTGGCTCTCTAACCCTCCAAGTCCTTACAGAGTCAAAGGTATTGGTCAAGCTGAAGATTAAGTAGACTGCAGGTGTGCCTTCCTCACTACAATCAAGATTATTCTGTAGCACCATTTCTTCAGTTTATCCCACCACTAAAGCTGACAGCTTTGCTGATAACTCACTCTTCCCGCAGGATCTGAGAATCTTTAGGGCAAACAAGGCTCATGGATCCACCCAATAAAATACTCAGTATAATGAAATACTTAGTATTTTATTGCTACAGCACCTGTTTAAATCCTGGTAACTATTCTTGTGTCCCTAATTCCAGTTAAGACAGGAGTAATTCCTTGCAGGAAAGTCATATTTTAAGTCCACGAGATGACTGTTTCTTGTGCCATGAAAACTTACTCTCTTTAAGAGCATTTGGCAAAGGACATTACCATAACCTTTATGAAAATACATATACATTGTGCAGACCAAGTCAGTGCTCTCCATGTGCTTTTTGGTTCTCGGTGAAGCCATGACTTTCCATTGTAAAATTATATGGCACTTATTTATAATTTAAACATCGTTATCCACAGACCCGTGTTTCTGTGCCACGCATTCTACTGTTACCTCAGATGGATTTCTAGTTCTTCAGGTGATTTCTGTCACCTTTCTTTGAAATTGAATTTGTCATCTAGTACTCAAGACCGTATCTTTCTTGAGTACTTAAAGTACTTAACCTTTTGGCCCTGCTGACTTTCTGATGGGCTTCCAGTGACTAGCATGCTGAGTAAGCACCAAGGAGGAATATGAATAATTGGTGTATAGGTTCCCTCCTTGGTTAATGGAAGCAGAATCACAACAGCTGCAATTTAAGCAGTTTAATTACAACATGCTTACTGTGAAGTGGAACTTTCTTTTTAATGGGCAGTTGTATTCCAAATAAAGCTCCTATTTTTTGTGCTGCCACAGAGAGGTATGACATTGTCTGAATTAATCTTTCTACTCCTGTGAAGGTCACATAGCCTTACTGTGGTAATTACCGAAGTATCTGCTGTGGCTGAAAGTGTCAGAGTGATGGCTCTGTCACTCCTGCACTCAGCCCTAGCTCCTTCTCTGCCACATTGGCCACGGGAGTGATTCACCAGGGATTAACATCTGCTGGTGGAGCAGTGAGATGGGAAGAAGTGTGCTTAGTGCTGCTGTTCCTTCTCCAGATCCTCTCTTCAGATCTCACCTTTTCTGCTTTTCTCGCTTCTTTCCTCAGTATATTTTCCTGAAACTGTTTATCATCAATGCAATCCACTGCAGTTTGTTCCGCTGAATTTTTCCTTTCCACAGCAATGCAATGTGCTGGCAGTCTTTTCCCAACCAAGTTCTTGTTAAGTGCAGAAGGAAATGAGTTAACTTAGCTCCTGCTGTTAAGCCCTGGAAATTGTGGTTAAGTAGTCAGCCGTCATAAAAAAGTTAAACATTTGGTTTAAATATAAAAGTCTTCTGATTGTTAAATCAGCGTTAGAGCAGGACAAAAATTAGTTTATTTAGAATTTCTGTACAGCTGGTGACAGAATTTATGTCATTTTCAACATAAATTGCTGCCAGTAGGAAAACAGCTAGCGCCAGATTTACTTAATATATGTTCCATGTTTCTGTGAGTCGTCTCCTATAATGGTTGACGAGTTAAAAAAGAACAATTAAATAATTCTGTATTTCTAAACAACATAAAATAAAAGCCTTCCTAAAAGAGAATGTATGAAATACAAAAATATTCAGGAGCAATGACACCAGGTCTCAGTTTAGAGTTTGAGTATTTGGAACCTGTAATCAGGTTTAGTGTGCTGAATTGATTTACTGTAATAAAATCAGCTTTTTATTCAGAGAAAAAATTCAAAGGCTTAAGCAGTAAGATACTAGATGATTTTAGGACAGCTGATACAGCAGTTCAATCACTTAAGTATCTAAATATCATCAAAGTATTCCCATAAAAAGAGATTCCTGAGTCATTTTTTGAAATGGAATTTAATATCCCTAATGTGTCTTGCAAAGTTTTACGTTAAGCCTTCTGGGGTTTTTTATTATCATAAATTGAAGATATATAAAAAATTGTTTATTCGATCAATTTTAATTCATTTGATCCATTTGATATGTACTTACCAACTGAAATATGCATGAGTGCCTAAGAAGTGCATATCTTTGAGAATTTAGGAGAATTTCTTTCCGTTTTCCTCTTCTAAAATTATGACATTGTCAAATACAAATATTTAGGTTATAACAATTGCTCTTTCTGAGGTTTCTTATTTCTCAAACAGAACTTTTGGGGTGCAATTCAGTTGTGTTAATGTAGGTGTGCCCATAGTGCCATTTGAGGTTCATTGGGCTAATTCTGCTTCACCTCCAAATCTTTTCCAGAAGGAGGTGGATCTCTTTCAGGTCCTGTGTCGTGTCAGTGAGCTCCACCTGGGTATCTTGGAGTACCCTGGGTGCAGCACATCACTTGGGTGCTCATGTTTAGACAGTTGAGTCGTGTCTTCAAAGACCTCATTTCTGCCAGTGAGAATATTGCAGCTGTTAGAGAAAGACAGAAGCCTGAAATAAACCTTCTCTTTCCCATTTCAGAAGATATGGAAGGAAGTTTTAGTAAAAGTATAGAGAATGGTCTGACAGTCTCAATCCTTGCAGTTTTATATGCAGTGTAATGTTGAGACCATGCTGAAACTTGCTGTCCATTGCTACGGGGCTTTGGCTGTGAGAGAAATAAATGTTTGGACATGCACTTTACCTAACTTTCTTAGTTTTATTTGCAAGGAATCAAGTATCGTAATACTTTGATTCTTCGTCTTCAGGGGAGACTAATCCTGTCAAGTGCTATGGAAAATATTTGCATAGTTGGCAAGTCTGATTTTTTTTTCCTGGATGCTTTTTCCATGTAATTTTTTACTTTCTTCTATTTTCAAAAAAGGTCATTTGAAAACTGCAACATAACATGATTTTGAAATGGAACAGTCAGTTTTATTCTACATATATCATTCCGGAGTTTTCAATCTGCAAAAAAATGTTTTTAATTAATTGTGCAAAATCTGCAGGCCACTTTCTAGTTTGTCATTTCTTTTGCGAGTTTCTTGTGTATGGGATGCAGCAAAACAAAAAATTGTGTTTTGTTAAGTCTTTTGCAAGTTTCTTGTGTATGGGATGTTTGATTTTCTTATATGTGCAGCAAAACAAAAAATTGTGTTTTGTTAAAGACTTAATTATGGAGCCTCAACATCTTACAAAGAGTAATTTCAGTGCAATACAAAGGTTTTCTACCCACAGTTGTGTTCAGTCTCACTGCTGTGTATGAAAAGAGCTATTTTCTGATGTCTGTTGATAAGTACTAGGGTGACTTGTCAAGTTGATTTTCTGTGTCTCTTAAGTGTCAATTGTGAATAAAATTGCATCAGAGTATAAGAGATTAAGTAAACACAAAATGCAGCTATTACTGTTTGTTTTCTGGAGTTGTGTAAATCTGTTCACTTATAAAATAAGTTTTACAAATTAATACCATGGTAAATGGCAATAGACAATGAGGTTTGAGAGAGATGCGGTACGTAGGTATTTGATGGTTTACTCAAGCAAATTTGGCAGGGCTTCACTCGAAAAGTTTTACAAATTAATACCGTGGTAAATGGCAATAGACAATGAGGTTTGAGAGAGATGCGGTACGTAGGTATTTGATGGTTTACTCAAGTGAGTTTGGCAGGGCTTCACTCTGTATTTTTATTTTCTTGAGGAGTGTTGGAACAAATTTGGCAGGGCTTCACTCTATGTATTTTTATTTTCTTGAGGAGTGTTGGAAGTGTATGCAGTATGAGTTAAAGTCTTCAAAGTTGTCCTTCTGGGTTGTGTCTGTCTCTTACTGCCGTCCCCGTGGCTGTCTGAAACATGAAGTGAACCAGTAAACACGGCCATGAGTGCAGCCAGACAAGTGTAGAGAACAAATGGTCACCCATAGTTTGACTTTCTCCCACTCCTCTGAATTTTAGATGTATGATTTTAAGTAACCAGTTTGAAGTGGCTATAGCAGTTTCTGCATAATTTGATCAGATAACTTATAAGAAATGTAATTTTTCTTTCTTTCTGTCTACAGGAACACCAGTGTACTCAGTAGCCTGGGGACCTGATTCTGAAAAAGTTCTCTATACTTCAGGGAAGCAGCTGATTATTAAACCTCTTCAGCCAAATGCTAAAGTTTTGCAGGTATTATTAATACATGGGGGCTGTCTCACATTTCCATGTGAAAACTTCTTAAAATTATTTAGAGTTTTGCCAAACATATAAAATGTTTGTGCTAAATTTTTCTGTGCAACGTGTACCACTCATTTCTCCCTCCTACTCCCCGCCCCCCGCCACCTCACCCCCCTTTTTTTAGTGTTTTTGAGAATAAGGAGATTGTTCATTTCTCTAAACCAAAAAAAAATAATTGACAATTTCTTCTGTGGATATTCTTCAGGCATGTGAGTGAGCATTTCCCGTTTCTTAAATAAATAAAAAGCAAAAAGATACAGAAGTCTTGCCGTTTTCATTTGTTATGAAAACGCTGACAGATACAGAAGCAATCATTTAGAACACACTTTTAGTGCAGATTGTTTTGCTTTCATTCTGCCTTGTTCAGGCTGCATTCTCTGCATTTGTACTGTTGAAAACCCTGATCTCCATTGGAGTGCATGAATGCCGCTAAATGATGAAAAAGACTAAAAATAGAAGTTCTCAGGCTTGTGGCATCTATGTTTAATTTATTTTTTTCAATTTCAGTGGAAAGCCCATGATGGACTTATTTTAAAAACTGACTGGAACTCAGTTAATGATCTTATTCTTTCTGCAGGTGAAGATTGTAAATACAAGGTGAGTACTGCTTCAGTTTTTAGGGAAACTAAGTGGCTGAAAAAGATATTAGGCATTCTCATGTTTTCTAATTTTAATAATATTTGGAAGCTCAAAATTAAATGAGAAGTCTTTCAGTTTTCAAGAAAAACTTGTTACCCTAAGTTTATTATTTGTAAATACATCTTGTTCTCTCTACCAGTGTAAAATTAGATTATTTTTTTTTTAAAGTACAGCAGAATGAAAATAGGTCAAATGCATGTGAAAAAAAACTCTGAAAGAAAAATATGTAGAAATATAGAAATGATTACTTGAAATAGTATAAGCTCTGAGATATGCTGAAAATAGTAATGACATATAAAATTAGAGGAAATAAAGCTACTGTTTTCTATTACAGGAGCATTAGTGGATCCCTTAAGAAATTTTTTGGTTAGATATTTTGTATCCATACCAGAAAGCACATATTGTGTTTCTTCCCTTAAGTAGGAACTTACATGTCGATTCTATCATTCTCTAAGTAGATAATGGCTGTGATAAAAATGTACACAATTAGGAATTTTTTTTTAAAAATTATCAATGTGTTATCAAATTACTTCACTCTGTGAACTGGCTTCCTGGTATTTTGTTGATTTCAATCAGTAGGAAAAACTCTTTGGTCTGGAAATTTGCAGAGGTGCCTCATATTGTTGGGAACTGAGTGCAAATGGAATAAATCGTGTTTATTTAACAGACTTACAGTAATTTGCAGGAAACAAAACTAGTTAGTACAAAATATTTTATACACAATAATGTACCATGCTGTTGCAGCAAAGCAAAGTCTATTGCATTAGACAAGCCAATATTAATTAGAAACAACCTTTAATGAAAAGTGAACTATAATATGCAAAGTCTATATCAAAGATATGTAATTTTTTAAAAGGTTTGGGACAGTTACGGACGTCTCCTGTACAGCTCACAGTCCCATGAATATCCTATAACATCTATTGCCTGGGCTGGGGATGGAGAATTATTTGCTGTGGGGTCTTTTCATACTTTGCGTCTATGCGATAAAACTGGGGTAAGTAACAACTCTGAGAAATAGCAGATGTGGAATTGTACAGATTTATTGATAATACAGTATATATTCCTGATGATATCCATGCACGGGCAGGGCTTTTTATTAGCAAAAACTAGTCATGACTTCCAGCACCTTTCTACTGACCAAGATATTGCCTTATCGATCTCCCTAGCTGCGCTTCTAAATATGTTTTGAGTTGGATAAATTTATTTATGTCTTTCAGGACATAACATTTTTCTGTGCATTTTTTAGCTTTTTTCCTTAAAAACACCAAGAGTGGTAAACTGAAATAGATACACTATTGTATGGGTGAGGCTGACAATTTAAATTGCATTTTGCACTCAATATGGATTTATGCTTAAATGTGGCAAAGACTAGTGCAGCAGAAAAGGAGCAAAATACTAGATTTCTTTTTCTGCTGTCATCTATGCTGTTTTGTAGCCTATAGTTTTTGTTTCTGATCCCCGGGGCCTTACTGTTTTTCTTGCTAATTATTATGTAATAAAATTGACTATAACTATGGTTCCAACTCCTGCTAGCTGAATACAACTAATTTTTAAATCAGCATGTTGAATAGGCTTGTGGACTTTGTTGGAAATTTTAATGCAGATAGGTTTATTTTTTCATAAACTTAAGGGTTCTTTTACCTGCTTTATTACTCCACTCTTAAAGAAACAAAGACATGTACAGTAGCTAGTGCCAGACACTTTTGTCTGTTTAGCAGCTAACAATGATAATTTATTATCTTAAAAAGTCATGATTTTTCATGAAAGTTCCTTTCCTGACATTAAATGTAAATAGTTACTAAGGAACTAGCCTTGCTAGTATTGAGGGGAAAGCAAGAATGATTCACATACCACCAGAGTGATGGAGTTTGAAGAGAACCAGACCTGGCTTTTACTGGTCAACACAGACATTTTTATTATGTCTGATGTAATGGAGCTGTATTGGCAAATTGCTCCTCAGGGAGCCATCAGGCGATACATATATCATTAACTCTTCTCTAGCATATGTGTTCAGTTTGGGGACATAATTAAATTAAATTCTGTTAGCGTATGTTCTTTTCTCCTGTTCTTTCTACCTGGATACTTTGTTCTAGCAGCTTCATGTTAAAAAAAAGGAAACTACAAATATAGTAGTAACTTTAGAAGTTTTATTTCTTCATTTGAAAATCATTTGTGCTCCAATAGCACTGTATATCTAAAAGAAATTATTATGGCTAACCTACGGAATACCAAACAAAATATATTTAATGTTGAGATTTGTTGTCTGCTTTAATGCCCGTGATCATTAATCCCGCAGAGAGTGCTACATTAATTTTAAAGTACATATATTGAAACGTAAAGCTGGATGTATTGATGGACAGACGTTAGCCTTCCTGGTGTTCACAGCTTTTCAGAATCTAATCACTTGGATAGAGGGCAGTGCTTAAGAAGTTCATTTATGTAAGCTATTTCCTGTGGCTCTGCATGCTTCCCTTGACATTACTGATCAGGTCAAAATATTTACACAGTAAGAGATGGTAAGAATGACTGAAATTCACTGATTTCCTCCTTCCCCACTCCACTCCCACATAAATATCTTAGAAAATGGACCATACCCATCTGCTCCAAAGACAGGTTGCTTTCCCACTGCCTTGGAGAGTGTAGAAGGATAATTGATAAAAAACTTCAGAATGAAACACTGTGGTCAAATGAATGCTTTTAAAATTGACAACAAAAGTTAGCAAAGACAGACATCAAATATGTATTTTAATAATGCTGAATGTATTTATGCATTTGTTTAGGGGAGGCCTTTTAGATTTTCTTCCATTAATGATTTATTTACTATTTACCCTTAATGGGCATTGATCAGTTTGATTTGATTTTTGGTTGTTGTCATTTTTCCAAATTAATTGTACTCTTCCTGTTGACCATTTCTTCTGGTGATGTTTATCTACAGCCTGTTTTCATAAATAAATTGATGTTTGACTGCTAAATCTTGCCCTTTGATTAACTTTTATCTTGATTTCATCACCATGCTTAGCAAATGCCTTGTAATGAAAGCAAATCTCTGCATAAATCTGTAAGTTCAAGTTTTTAAATTGTTACGTACTTTCTACAAACTCTCTCTTTTATTTCAGAATGAATTGTGGCCATTTTACTAGATCAGTAGTTTGCATTTTTGACTGGTTCTGTTATACGTGGCTTTTTATAGTCTATGGCTTGCTCCATAGAATGTCTAATTTTGTTAGAAATTCTATAAAAAATATTTGGAAAACTTAAGAAAATTTAGGGAATGTTGCCTAATATCTATAGAAAATAAGGGAAAACTTTCTGCATATGTAACAGTTACTTCCCACCCACCACCCCATTTAAACCAAGTATGAGTACGGTGCTATGGCTAATATAAGCTATGTGATAACATGTTTCTATTCAGCTTTTTCTCAAAAAGATACAGACTTGAACTTCATGAAAGCTGATTAAATTAATTTGGTGTCCAGGGCTGGTCCTATGTTAAATAGTTGGGAGTGTTTGACCCTTTTTTCCTTATTTTTTAAACTATTGACAAATGAGGAAAAAAAAAATCTTAAGAATTTTAAAACTACAATGTAGCAGGTATCTACAGAGAAACTTCAAAATAATTTGTTTAGCATTAAAGCCATGATTTTCATTCAGGATAGTAAATTGTATGGCTATTGTAAAATTCACATAATTTATCCTTTAAATTAACATTACATATTATACAAATATAAAAGAGAGAGCGAGATTTTGAAAGTGAATGTGTACAAAGCATATGATTTCATTTTATTCTGACAGTCCTGAATTGTCCTAAACCAGAGCACTATGAAAACCCAAGTAAATCTGTTTTCTATACTTACAATGAGCTTTGATCCCATTACATTTAGTTTTAGTCTTGTTTTGCAGAGATATATGCTTTTGGCAGCCTAACAAAAATAAGGGGGTTTTTCTGTGCTGTCTCTATTTCATCTACCTTTATTAACAGTCATGATCCTGAATTCTTTGTAGCTCAATAAAAGAAAAAATATTACAAAGGTTTCCCATAAAGTTATGTTGTTGACCAATTCTTTCCAAGTTGGCATATTTTAATTTATTGGAATTGGCTAATATAACTTCTGGAAGAAAATGAAAACATATGGATCATCTATGGAAGTAATAATCTATTTAAAGAACTACATCATTGTTTCATTTTCTAAGGTTAAGAATTTATATGGGACAGTTTGTCATCCTATTTTTAGTTCTTGGGTCTAATAATTGTGAGAATGCGCTTGGATTTCAGAAGAATTTCAGATATCTTCTGTCTGGCTTTGTTCTAACACGCAGTTTAATACCTTACCTGGAGGTTGTGGCTTAGTTCTTGATAATTCACATTAATGACTGGGGCCAAGTCCAACAAATGTTTACAAAGGCAACAGGGATCCTTCACAGTTCTGTACGTCAATGGTTGTGTCAAGGATAGTTTCTCCTTTTTGGGTAAATTGCCCTGTATTCACAGGTAGCACTGGATTTCCTCACCTCCACTTACATATATTGTCTCTGGTTTGTAGAACCTTTTGTGGATTCCTCTATGGTAGGAATTAAAGCCTAATACATCTTATATTGTAAAAGATCATTATATTTATACTCAATAAAATATTGGGGGCTTGTATAGACATATAGACATATATATTACCCACAAGCTAATTCTAAGTATATACGTGTATTCAAGTGTTTCTAAGGCACCTAAATATGGATTTGCTTTGGATAATCGATTTTTATAATCTTGTAAGATTCAATTTACCTTCCATTACATCAGAAAATTAATAGTCATTTTCTGATGAGAAGCTTCTGAGCAGCTTGCTCCAAAGTGTTCATCGCTGAGACGTAGTGAGAGCTCATTGCCAGCTTTTAATGGACGTTCAGACTATAATGTATGTTCAGATGTCAGCTATCTCTGCAATAATGTGAAATGCCCTATGGGGCACAAGGAAAACTGAGCTTTCACTTTAAAAAAAGTAAATAAAATAATAAATAAGTAGAGATCCTCAGTTATTAGGACCTGAAACTTTCTGGGTCAGACTTGGGTCAGAGGAGGTTCTAGCACACTCGTCTTGGTTTATATCAATTGGGACATAAAAGGACAAGAGCATTTATTTGCCGTTAGTCCATTCTGCGCTCTGGTTTCCTGGAATGGATTGTGAAGGAGATTGCAGGTTTTCTTTTTCATAAACAAAGTCAAAATAATGGGCAAAGACTATAATTAAAGTCAGGGGACTTGGGTATGATGTGTAGGTTATGACACCAAGGGGAGGTTTGACGTTATCAGCTGTAGTTCTGTTTATGTCAGCATTCCCTGGGCAAAACTCCACGTACTGGTAAACAGAGCCGAAACAGGGACCAGCCAAGTGTCCTTTGCACAGCTGACATCACTATTACCCTTATGTTTTAAAATATACAAAAATGCTTTTTCTTCACTGTGTTTTTTTCAGAACGTTTATGCTGTGGTATTCTGTGGGTAACCATTCTTAACTTAATGCATTCAATCCAGAAATAATAACTAACTAGAACCTTCATATTGAGTCTTGGAGCATCATGTGAAAGACTGTCCTTGTTCCTGGGACACAGAGTTCTCTGAATCTGCTCATTGAAACGATTTCACCGACATCTCAAGAGCCCACTCAGTTTCCATTTATGGAAGTCAGACAGTATTCAATGACTATAGTACTTCATCTTTTTTACTACATTGTGCAATCAGAAAAGGGAGGCTTAAGTTATTGCTTTTATGTATTTATTTAATATAATGAAACTTTTCTAACTACTGTTTTTGTTCTTGAGAGAGTTCCTTGAATTAAATGAAAAATTAATTATGACACAGGAAAACTATAAGCCATACAGTAATACCAAAGTATAATATTGCAGTTAATGTTAGAACAACATTCATACAGTCATTCATATACTCATATTCATACTTTTTTTTTTTTAATGAGTGTGTCTAGGAAATACATAATAGCTATTTTGGGTTTTAAAAATTGTTCCTGTCTTAGAAATGGAGAGCTAAATGATTTTTATTATAACATTTTGTGCACATGATAAATGTACTGGACATCTGCAGGGAGTATGAATCATTGGAGTGTTCTGAATTATACGGAGAGCTTTCAAAAATAACTGGAAAATAAACTTTGTCATTGCTTTATATATTTTTTTTTAAATTTAGGTTGTAATCTGGAAATATTTTACTGAGTACTTCAAATGCCTGAAAAAAAAGGCTTCTGGTTCAAAAAAAAATGGTTTTGGAAATGTATCCTCTCAGAGGTGCAGTATATCTGCTATGCATAAGAAAGTAGCACCAAAGCCACATTCTTCAAGCTCCTTAAACTGGTTCTTAGTTGATGGCTTGATGCCCCTTTATTATTCATTCTGACTGATGAGTAGATTCTTGATCTAAGGGAAATGACCTTAGAAAGAACCTTGTCTGTTTGGGAGGATCCCAATATTCAGTTTTGAAACAGTACTTCTTCAAACTGTTCTCAGATAGATCACATCTGGCCAGCTGTGAAAAATATGTCTCAGACACGGGGTATTTAGAGCATTCTCTGAGTGTGCTTGTTACAGTCATTTGTCCTACAACCTCAAGAGCTTACTCATTTGCCATATAAGGATGTCAGACATAGTTAAATATTATGCTCTTAATTACTATAGAGTGTTTCATACAAAATTCATCCCGTTGAGACGGAAGAGTAGGTTATGGACTTTTCTCCAAAAATTGCCTTCCCCAACTGCGGATCGTACGGGCGGTGAATGGCGTGACTGTCAGCCAAGAGGCATGGAAGCCGAAGCCTTAAAATTGAGTGCTTGAAATTGGAAATTCAGTCAGTGCTGACATCGTCTTTCACTCACCCGTAGGCGCGTAGGCAGTAAAAGAGCCTTAAGTCAGTAGGTCATCTTACATACCACGCTGCAAATCATTAGCGCAACTGGGAGGTTGAATTTCATCCCATCGTGTTCCCTCGCTATTGAACATTCAAGTCTGACACCTTCATTTTATTGTAATTTTTGTGATTTCTTATAAATAATATGAAGACTGTATGAAGGACTTAGTATTTCTTGGGGTTTATGTGTACTGCAAAAGAAATCAGAATATGAAATGTGTTAGAAACATTAGGTGAGTATTTTCTTCCAACTGTCTCCCCTTTGGTATAATATCATGTATCCAAAAAGTCATGAGAATCCAATGTCCACATTTAACTTCAATCACATGTTTTTTTTCTTACTGATTCAATTCTTAAGATTTCAAATGTTTTTGAATATTCAGATAGTTCTTCAATTGCTAAATGCTTTAAAAAATATTCTGTTGCACATTTCTGAAGAGGTGATAGTTGAGATTCACTTCTAGTTTTAAAACCTGGCTTAATGTCTTCCTAAAACTCTGTAAAAAGGTTTTTTTCATTTTTTTGTCATCCACTTTCAGGAAAACACTTGTTGGGAGATTTGGAATGATTTGTACAATTTGTGTTTCCGAGGTGCAAGAAATAGAAAAAGTCTTGGCCTGAAAATTCTTCTTCTAGTTTTTGACAAGAATGTGTTAACAAGGATCTAGCTAAACTTTAGAGGAGCCTCGTACATAAGGCTGGGGGAATTTCACCGCAATACCACAGAAATGTGGTCTCTGGGTCCAAGCGAGCCTTTCCACTTTGCAAAACCCAGTTAGCAGGAAAATGTACAATGATGCCATTTTGCCTACCGGTTGAACTTCTAGCTCCATAGGAAAGCAGATACACTATTTATTTTGATAGTAAGATTCTGAAATACAGCTATTCGACCTGTGCCTCTGTGACATTAAACTGTGATACTCCTCTGGGAGCACCTCTTAATGAGTCTCAAACAAATGCAACGCACAGAGCTATTGGTTTTGGTTCTCTCCAGAGCTTTGGTGGCAGTGATTTCATTTTTTTTTCGTTTTCACTTTTTGTTGTTATTGCAAGCGTAGCGACTGGAAATTTTTCATACATCCTTCCCTTGTTCAGTAACAACAGAGAAAGGTAGGGCAAGGTATCTAGCTTCTTTTTTTATGTGTTAAGAGGAGGACAGTGAACAGGCATTGCTTTTGGTGCTTCTTATAATGCACTGATGTCCCTTACATTGGAAGCGTGGAGAGAAGCAACACAAGAGCTTTGCAGTTCTGTGTGTGCTGGGACAGGAGCACCATGTTCATACTGACTGGTTTTGCCAAGGCCTTGCTGTTTATAGCCAGGAACTGTGTCACTGCAGCACAAAGACTACATCACGCTTAAGACCATCACCCATTGCACCCATGTAACCATCATAATTGTTTCTAAGTATCTTCATTTAGTTTTTATGTAGGGATTGTCTAGATTCATTAATGACTGGGTATGCTTTATATTTATTATGACTAGGTACCTTTTACCTGATGTGCTTCAGGCATTGGGACATTTTTTCATTTCCACCATACCTGATGGTTTTCCTTTTTGTATCCCTGCTTTTCAAGAATCTGATTTAAATCTTATCTCTTTGGTTTGTTTATTTTAAGTTGTAACAAAAAGTTAGGTCATTGATGTTTCTTAAAAAATTATAACCATGCAAATCTGTGTATTACAACAAATGATTTCTTAAAAGTACCCAAAAAATTAAGAATTCTTTTCTTTTTTTCTGCAAGTGGTCTTATGCCTTAGAGAAGCCCAACACTGGCAGCATATTTAATATTGCTTGGTCTATTGATGGCACTCAACTAGCTGGAGCGTGTGGAAATGGACATGTCATTTTTGCCCATGTCGTGGAGCAACACTGGGAGTGGAAGAACTTTGAAATAACATTAATTAAGAGGAGAACCATGGAGGTAATCTTCACAGTTCTGAGGGGTGCATTCTGATTACCAGCTTTCTAAGGCTTTTTTTTAATTCAAAATGGGAATTTTTAATCCTTTTTTTTTACTGTGTATGTAGGGCTGAAAATGTTTAAGATCATAAAATGGCCAGAGTTAGCAAATTATGTAAATAATTACCAGCTGTACAGAAGATCCGCTCCATGTAAACCAAACCATACCACCAGATGGACCAGAATTACATAACCCAGAAGTGCTTTATCCTCCAGAAAAACGCAAAGCTCATTTGAAGAGCATGTGAAATTAGCTGTGGGAGGCCACTTACAAGAGAGAGATAATTTCAAGTGTAATGGAAATGTTTATGCAGAAAACAATACAAATACATGGGCCAAAAAAACCAAAGCATCATATTAAATAGCATTACAGTAACTGTCAGCAAAGATGAAGCTGTGTAACTAAGTGTAGATAATATAGAGGACTTTTCTTTACCTTATCTGCAGTCGTGAGTTGTTGGAGGCACCGATGCACTTCGTAATAGATAACGTATCCCTGTTGTTAATGAAGCTATGATGAATGTTGCTGTCTTAGGCCATTTCCAGATAAATTTGGTTGCTGACTATAACTGTAAAGAGTTGTAATGTGCTTTTCTGCACCACATATTGTATTACAGCCTAGATTGGGATCTTCCAAAGCTACAGACATTTCTCGTATATCATGTAACACGCACCAGGTACCTGTGTGGTGCTTCCAGCCCAGTACTGAGAAATAGGCATTGACCTCACTGGGAGCTGCCAAGTCTCAGCACTGCTGGAAATGAAACAGGCCCCTACATGTGGTTTCTGGAGCTTAAGTTTAGGATCCTTCTTTTGAAAAATCTTGGCCTGAATCCACATTTAGGTTACCAAATATCTGGGAATTAATACAAAAATATGAATTTTTACCTTCTAATTTGTCCTCTGTGTTCCCAGACACTGACTCACAACGTTCACTCTCTGAACACTGGGATAATATAAGATTTCCATTCTTACAAATTTTCCAAATTACACATTTGGTATTGGACACCAGGCCAATATTTTCAATATCGAAGTCAAGTTCCTAAATTTCCTAATTAGGTCCTTAAATGTTTTTCGGTCTTGATTCTTTTAATGTTGAATATGTAATTGGGAAAAGTTGTAACAACAGAAATGCTGTATTACATTTTGGTCCGGTGGGTGGGATAACATGAGTCAGTGTCTGGGAACACAGAAGACAAATTAGCAGGTAAAAATTCATATTTCTTCTTTCATTCCCAGACATCGACTCGTAACAGATGGGCTCTCTGAATAATCTCCAGGGTGTTTGAATATGCAAACAACTGAGGAAGTATAGCTAACCCTGATTCAGTACTAATGTTTTATTTTATTATTTTGTAGTGATTTTGTTTTATTCCTATATATTCATAGAGGAAAATATTGCCTAAGAAAAAGTTCTAGATGCATTCTTTTTTTCTGAGTACAATAGCTAAGTTAATTATGGACATATCACTGCAGTAGACATAGCAATTATTATGTCTTTGGAAATGGTTTCTAGGCTTTCATAATAATTGAGTTCAGTCCTTGTTTTGCAATTGGTTGCATAATGGAGAAAATCAAGAAGATGTTACCACCCTCAGAAGGGTGACATCTTAAAAAAAAAAAAATAAACCCAACAACCCACAAACAAACAAAAAAAAATCCCTGTCATAAGGTATCTCCTTAGATTTTAGCTGCCTAAAATCCTTGACCTCAAAATCTGTGTTGATTACAAGCAAACTGTGATTTTCTTGAAATATTGTCATTTGAGCAAATTTTCACAGAAATGGCAAGGACTCAACCTGCTTACCAAGGCTGTCTCCTGAATTTCCCTTACTTCAGAGTGTGGTAGCATTAAAATATATGCTAAAGCTGTATGTCTAGATTGAACATCTAGACAACATATCTTTATCCAGATCTTGGCTATTGCTGAATTCTTGTGATGGGATCACGGTGGGATTGCTGAAGTGTTATGTTTCAAATGTTTAAATAATCAGCAACTGAACGCTGAGTCTTAAAGTGGGAACTTTCAGACATCCTTGATCTCAGATGATTTTCTCAACCTCATGTATAATATTGCGTTTGTATCTTATGTATTCCAAGTATGCATGAATTGCTCCCTTCTTTAAGGACCTTCAGTAATTATTCTTTCTTTATTCAGAGTTTATATAACCTTTAAGTTTTCATTTGTGCTGTTAAAGTGCTTATTCCCACATAGATATGTTCTGCTAAAGGCATAATAGCATCAGCATGTGCTTATAATAAGAAAGAATATATTATTTCACTAATTAGTTTTCATTTCAGTTATTGTTGTTTTATTCAACCAAATTTTTCTTTTCATTAGGTGCACAATGTTATTAATGATGCAGTAGACTTGTTGGAATTCCGTGACAGGGTTATTAAGGCCTCTTTGAACTACGGGCATTTGGTTGTTTCAACTTCTCTTCAGTGTTATGTGTTTTCGTAAGTAATACAAATTCATGAAGCTTTCTCAAGTTTATCTGACAGGTGTAAGAGAGTAGCAGAAACTTTATTTGAAGTACAGTAGTTAATTTATTTTTTTTTCACTAATTGAAATATTCTATGGAACTTAGCATTGCCTACAACAAAATGTATTGGAGTATAGTTGCCTCCTCCCCCCATCATCCTTTCTTCTGGTGCCACGACTGCCTGTTTATTTTGCTACAAAAATTTGACATGTAGAGGCAGAGAAATGAAATTTTCTTTTCAGGTAGAGGCAGCAGGAATGGTGGCTGGATGCGAGTGTGTCTGTCTCAGTTATGTGCCTCCATCTAGGGACTCCTGTTTTTTTGGATTCTGCTTCTGGCATACCACTATTTTGGAATAGGATAGGAATGATTCAATCCCCCATCATGTTTTAAGAACATGATATTCTGTTTCATATGCTGAAATTTAAAGTTCAGTCCTAAGGGCACTTATCTGTTCAGTGAGATGACTAATGCTGAACAATAATGCAGTCTGTAATAGGGTACACAAGAGAAAGACTCTGTCCTACCTCTGGATCACTGTAAAAGGGTTGAACCATGATTCAGAAATATTTTAAATAGATGTTTGTTACATATAAATATGATGTTGGTGTTTGTTAAGACCCCTAGGTCAGCAGCTGCTGGTGTGAAGGGACCATACTGCATGGTTATCAGTGTTACTTGGCTTCCTAAATGCTGTTTTCCTTTTGAAAACCTCCCTTTTTAGGACTATTAGATGATTAAAATGCGTGTGCTTTATTTAGTGAAATTCAACTTTGTATTTGCAATGATATGTGAAGATTAGTGGTTTTAATGAATGATGACTTTTTTTTTTCCCAGTACAAAGAACTGGAATACACCACTGATCTTTGACCTGAAGGAAGGAACAGTTAGTTTGATTCTACAAGCAGAAAGGTACCTTAGTTCTTGCAATGCTCCCTATTGAATGTACACACACACAGTGTTGTCTCGTGGGGTGATGTGTGGGGATTGCTGCCTGCAGCTCTATGCTTTGTCATCACGAGTTATAAGATTTAAATCTTACAATATCTATAAGAGATAAAATCATAGTGATTCCAGATAATAAAGAATTTCTCATGGAAAAACATAACATTTATATTAAAACTGAAATCTTCCATACAGAGCTTTCAGAATACCAACTTTGAAATGTAGGGCTTAGAAACCACGTCATTTAACTAGAAACAATTGCAGGATATCAGAAAATTACTTTCTAATTGTTGAAACTCATCATGCTTTTCTGTATTATTTAATGATTTACATTTTTGTTGGGATTTTTTTTAGGCATTTTCTTCTTGTAGATGGTGGAGGACTTTATTTATATTCATATGAAGGAAGATTAATTTCCTCTCCAAAATTTCCAGGAATGAGAACAGACATTTTAAATGCCCAGATGGTATCTTTGAGTAATGATACTCTAGCAGTAAAAGACAAAGCTGATGAAAAGGGTAAGTTCTTCTCCATTCTAATAGCTCTATATTTGCTAATAATTCATTGTGAAGTTTTCAATATCTTCATGTTTAATTTTGCTTAGCATAGTTAAGGTAAAAAGAAAGCATAAAGCATAAACAGTTTATCTAGATTATAAATTAAAGATAATATTATTATCAAAATGAATTAAAACAGTGGGTCTTGCTTAACTTTGATTAAAATAAAGAGAAACAGCTCTGAACTTTCATTTGTACATAATGCATCAGAGAACCATGGAATATTTACAGTGAATACTTGAATGGTACATTTTTACTCCGATGTGATTTTTCTAAAGAAGTGCCTCAGCAATGTTTTTCTGCTAGACTCCTGCTCTTAGAAGCTACCAGTACATTAACTGTAATTAATTTTAGTTCTCCGATGTCCTTTTAGGTTTTTTTGGTTTTGTATCTTTACAGCATGTAAGTTTTGTGTGCAGCTGATGTGAGGCTGTGATGTTCGGTCTCAGTGTTGTGTTCTTGAAGGTCTTTGTGCTCTTAACTTTTGTGTTTTGGCATCAAAAGCACTATAATTATAAAACACAGCATGGCCAAATGAACTTAGGTAAATTTTTGCATTAACGAATGCTACAGGAATATCTTTTTCTCAGTCAGCTTTTTTCCTCTGTTCTATCTCTTGATGCAAACGTGTAGTTTACCTGTGAAACAATTTAAATTTGGAGTGTCTGCTGGAGACAGACGCTTGCATTGCTGGATAAGGCATGGCTGTGACTTTTGACTTCACAGCTGTGCCATTTATAGGGCAGACAGATGTTGGGTGCCGGGCTGCAGTGCTGTCAGGAGCTGTGTTTCTCCTGCGATGTGGCCAGGCAGGGGATTACCAGTGGGAGTAACTGTGCAAGGAGGTGCTGTTACTGCAGAGTGAAACACTGAAAACTTCCTGCCCGTGGTTCCAGCTGACACAAACTCAATCAGTTTTCTATAACTGTTATCCTAGACTTAATGATTAGATTTTAAACAGTTTCAGAATTTTAGAATTCTTTGTCTTGCAGCAAAGGATAATCATATTTATCTTCTTTTTTTTTTTCCATAGAAAAAGAAACCTTTCAGTGGGCAGTACAACAGACAAAAAAAGATCCTGGTTACTATAGGCATTGAATTAGTCCTTTAGTACTGATTGCGTGGTAGTTTTCTCAGCATGTAACCCACAACTTAAATTACTTGATTACTGAAAAAAAACCTTGTAATATTCCTTTAAAATATCCCTCCCCAGGCAAAAGAAAAATTAGGTGAGGTTTTTCTCACTTCCTTGTTACAAAGCATTTTTGCTGTTCTGAACAACTTAGATGTATGGGGTTTTTTTCTTGTACATTCTTATCTTTTATGTGAAAACAAATACTTTCATTATCACACAGCTATTTTAGATATCTATTTTAGATATCTATGTTAGATATTATTAATTTTGAATAATTACTGTAAAGAGTAGTGATGTAAAAGTAATACGCATCTCATTTTTAAGGGCAACTACTTCAGAAAATATTATCCTGAAGCATCAAGACATTAAAGATACCAAAACCAGCTGTATAATAAATAATGGATTTTAATTAAGAAAAATATATTTCAGTGTAAATTTTCAGAACAAAAAAGTGGTTTGCAAAAAAGAGATAAGTAAAGAGTGACATCTTATTTCTCATCTTGTCTCTTTTTACTCTGTATTTATATTATACAAGTGTATGTATGTTTGTTTATATTTTATTTAATTTTATTGCCATATTGACACCTTGATGCAGTTAGAATAAAAACAATAAAAGTATTTTAAATAAGTTGAGGTTATATAGAAAATTCATCCATAAATATTGACTGCTGTCTGTATGCATGCACATTTAAGATTTTGATGGTAAATTCACTCTTTTGCCCTGTTTCCCTGCCCGTATTTCTGCACAGACTGAAGAACATCTCCGTCTTCCAACCATTCCTGGTAGTGTCCTGCAAATCTTCTCAGCCTGTCTGCAGGCAAATGGTCATCAAAACTGTAGTTTACAGAGGCTGGGTTTCTGGCTGGGTCTTTAAGATAAACTCTTCAAGTGATCCTGTTGATAGGAGCTTCCATCAGGGCAATAAGTAGGGGTGGCTTGTTTTTTTTTCTATTTCAGATATGAGCCCCACTAGTAGTGGTAAAAGTCCTTATAATATGCCAGCACATGGGAAAAGAGATTCTTGGCACAGGAAGCTGTGGTTTATCTAGGCCTTTGTATTCTTCTCGACTCACCCCAGCAGAAGCAGTTTTTTTCTTTGCCTTATTTTGAGGGCAGGTCTGTTTTTCACAGTGCAGTGCATTACAGAAATATCTAAGATAGCTCACTTTGATACAGGAAGCAGTTCACACATCATAGCATGGAGCTCTCTGCCAGCTAATTTGCTCTGAAGCAGAGAGAGAGATGACTTGCTGTGCTTCACTGTTGCTGTTCCTTGCATAGTCTTCCTTTTTCAGCCATTTAGAAAAAGGTTTGGTACCTCTGCATTTACTGTCCTTCCTCGGTGTCTCATGAAGCTGGAAGAGGGAGGGGACCCTGTTCTCAAAAGGGAACTGCTGGCCCTGGGAGCAGTTATTCTGTGATAATAAAACACGTGGTAAAAGGCACACAGGAGCTGTTCTTTCTCTGGATGCTCAAAGTGAGAGAATGCCCTTTGTTTATAATTTTTTTTAATATATATATATATATATATAAAATATATATATTTTAGGTTCTAAATGATTGTAAAGGGATGTGAAGTTTTTCCAGATAGGGGGAAAAAAACCCCAAACAACCCCAAACATATTTTCTGAAATACCTTAGTAAGCATTGTAGATTAAAGTGATCCAATTTTATTTGTCATTTAGGTACAGTGGTTTTCTTTAAAACTCTCTTGATCTCACTTCCTATAGCTAGAACAGTAGCAGCAATTTTGGCTGCTATAGCTAGATCAAAATAAATTTCAGGCAGGGGGCTATGCATAGATGTGAGAAAAATACCACTTCTCAGCAGCAACTAGTTTTCTTCTGTATATTCATCCAGCTGCCAGGAACAAAGCTTGTGCAAAACCCTTTTTTCTCCTCCTCTGCAAGCTCAAGCAATGCTTTCTGAACACCTGCTCTTACAGTTGCGTTGTTTTGTTTTGGTTTTTTTGTTTTTTTTTTTAAATTCTGCCTGTATAACCATTGACCTCAAACCAACATCCTGTGTCCCAGTGAAAGAAAGGCAGAGCGGGATTAACATGTTAAACATCGCCATCCTTTGGAGTGAACGTGTATGTTCATCTCAGGCTGTGTGCTGACAGGTGATGTGTTCAACCCGCAGGTGGGGTGTGTTACTGAACATCTGAAATGTTCCTCTCACATCTGTGTTTCCCACAAACTAATGTGCTATCACGTGCTTTAAATTACAGCTGATGTTCTTTCTAGCGTTACTGGTTTTTTTACATTTGAATACTCTACCTATATCTGTCTGAATTTGTGTGTGTGTTCACAGACTATATATAAAATATGGATGAGTAATTTTTGAACACACATGGGTGTGTATGCGCCACACATCTAAGTCTATATAGAGACAGAAAGAAAGAAGGAAGGAAAGAAGGAAAAAAAGAGAAACTTTAATTTTAGGCAAGTTGCAAATTTGAGTCTTCACTGGATATCCCAGGAATACAGATGATGGAAGTGGGTTTTTTTGGAGCATTTTTTTTTTGTTTTCTTTTTCTTTTTTTTGAGGGCAAAACAGGGAGAGTGGAAAAGATGGACTTTTGGTAAAGAATGCAACAATTACATATAAAATTCAAGCGTACCTGGATAAAGCAGATACTTTTTGAAGAAGCCAGTTATTCGTGTATTGTCATTACCTGTATGACCACGACAAGCAGAAACCCTGAACTGTCCTGGAAGAAAGTATGCCTCGGGACCACTGTATGAAGAATTCAGAATAGAGCAAATTATTAACAAAATAGAGAATGCTTCTGCAGAATGTTTTACCCAATAGTTTAAAGGACAACTTTCTATCTATCTGATACTGATTCCTTTAGGAAAATATATCAGTCGATGATAGGACTTCCTAAAGTTTCATATTTATCAAAATTGTGGATTAAGAAAAAATAATGATATTTGAGAATTTTCACAGATAACTAATTGTGAAATGAGATTTTTCCTAAACTCAGCAGACTGTGCCAGTTACATCATTCCAACTCTAAGATTTATTTTTTTTTTGACCAGAGTGTGAAAGTCACTGGTTAATTTAGTAACCAGTAATAAGTATCCAGTTGCAGTAAATTATACTCTGAAAATGAATGGAACTGCTTGAAAAGTATATGGAGAACTGTTGCTTTTAACTAATAAACCATATAATTTTTTTTCCCTTCAGTTATCTACATATTTGAAGCTTTATCTGGAAAGCCTTTGGGTGATGGAAAACCTCTAACCCATAAGGTAAGGTGAAGGATATAGTGTCTCTTTGTTATTGTACTTTGAAATGAAGAATCATTAATGGGTTTCCTCAGTAAGGGGTCTAATAACCTATTAAAAGTTTACAATCTTAATAGAAAGGAGCTTGGCAACTCTCTAGCTGAGTCATAGAACAACAAAAATCAGATTGTTTATGCAGTGTTGATGTGCAAAGGGATATACTGTAGGATGTGTTTGGTTACCAGCACGTTTCCCATGCACATAAGAGTTTGAAACTACAGGTAAATAGTTTTGTTCAGCAGTAAAACTGATGAATCAAGTTTCCTTTGCATGTACTGCAAAGCAACTTCTATTAGTGCTGGCCTGTTGTTAACACTGAAGAAAAGAATATCAGTGCAAGTTGTCTCTTTTCAGTCTGAGCTTTTACTGATTTTACTTCAAAAATGATTGCCTGAACTGTGTTTTACTTTTCTTCACTCTTTCAGTATACAGCAAAAGCAAAATTAAGCAGCTTCTATGGAGAGAGGAGTAGACATTCATCTTTTAGACAGCTTTTGCTTTGGGACTGCTGCTTGTATTTTTGTAGTTTTATGGTAAATTCCTGAACTGCTCTTCTCTGTTGTAGCTTTGTTTTAATCTGCATGAAATTCAATTTATATAGTTCTTCATTCAACAGAGAAGACACACATAAAGTGTCTTCACAATCTAATTTTTTGAGAGTTTTTTGCCTTGTCTTTAGTAAAGCCTTCATTTGTTTGAATGTCACATGCTTTCTGTGATATGAATCTCCAAAATAAAAATCAGATATTTTCTTTTTCCTTTTCAGACGGAAATTGTGGAGATTGCTTTGGACCAGAAAGGACTTACAAGTGAAAGAAAAATAGCTTTTATTGATAAGAACAGAGATCTTTACATTACTTCAGTGAAGCGGTTTGGAAAAGAACAGAAGATTGTCAAAATAGGTTAGAAAAACTCAAAATAACCTTTAACTGCATGCTAGCAGATACACTTTTATCTAGTACAAGACACAACAGTTTGCTTTTTAATTAACAGTGAAATTAAACTTAAAAGGCATTAGAAGTAGTCCTGTGGCTTTCATAAGATAGTGGTAGAAATAATTTTAGCACAAGATATCTAAATACTGATAATTTTTATATCGGTTACATGTAAAGCAGTTGTTAACATTTAAGCCCTTGTTATTACATTCCAGAGAAAGCAGCTCAGTGGATATTGGAGACGGATGTATTCCTCAGAATTATTCAATACAGAATCTTTCAGACATTTTTCTTACAAATGCAAATTCTTAAGTTCATAATATCTTTAATTAAAAGTTTCAATGCTGTAGACGGATGTGTGATCCTATAAGTATGAAGGTGCGGTCTGACCATTGTATTAATTTTCATCTCCAGTCTCAAAACTAAGTCGAAAAAACATTTTTCTGAGAAGAACTTTCTTTCAGAAAGAGAACTGAATTAGGCTGAAAGTTGGTAAGATGTTACCTTACAAACTAGGAAGTTAAAACCAGTCCTTATAATAGGAATTAAAAGTTGCTAATAATTTACCCTTGCGTTTAAAAAAATGTACCTTTATTTTGAAGTTTCTTGTGGAAATGCATATTATTCTCTTATCTTTAAATATAGGGACAATGGTTCAAACTTTGGCTTGGAATGACACATCTAACATTCTCTGTGGGATTCAAGATACCCGGTTTACAGTCTGGTACTACCCCAACACAGTCTATGTAGACAAAGATCTTTTGCCAAAAACTTTGTATGAAAAAGATGCAAGGTAATATATCCTTTTTGGTCAAAATAGTATTATGTATTTTAACTAGTTTCCTTCTTCCTTAAAGAATTTTGTTAATTTGGCAGTTGAAGTAGAAGCCAGGGTTGCAACTTCTAAAATTCTTGTCATGTTACTACTTCTTGATTAGCAAATGAGGACAAAGTGTTTTATAAGGTATATCATAAAGTTTGGAGTTGAAATGACAACAAGCAGTGTAGAAGTAGAACAGCAGCTTGATGCAAACAAAATTTTAATCATACCTCATGAAATATTGCCTTAGTTATTTGTAAACAGACAAACAAACAAAAAAGATCTCTTTAAAGTATCTGTTGGAGATTAAAAGTATCAAGATACTAGGTCACAGGTAATATTATTTCTAGCTCAGCATGTTTATTTTACATGCTTACTTCAGCCTGTATACTTTGTGATATGAAATTCTTCATAAAGAATACCTGAATATATTATTATTTCATTCTAAGAGTTATGGGAGCCCTAATATTTTTAACAGAAAAGTGTATTTGAAAATTTTTGCACAAATAGCCAGTTTGCATTGGCCTTATGGTCAGTGAATGTGTGTGACTGTAATTTTATTTTCAGAGAACATTACAACTGCCTGTTGGATATAACTATTGAATAACTAGGTGCTTAGATTTCTATATGCTCTGAAAACTAATTATAATCATGTTGTAATTTTGAAACAAATATTTATTTTTTTTAAATTCCTAATGTTCTTCCCGTACAAAAGAAGTGAATATTAACTTACTTTTCTTTCTCTATCCAGTGGATTTAGCAAAAATCCGCAGATTGTACATTTTGTAGGAAATCAAATAACAATTAGAAGAGCAGATGGTTCACTTATTCACCTTAATATTTCACCTTATCCTGCGATTCTTCATGAATATGTTAGTAGTTCTAAATGGGAAGATGCTGTCAGATTGTGTCGCTTTGTCAAGGTAAATGCTAATTATTAGGAACTTTAATAATGATAATTGCAGATCAGATGCTACATCTCATTTCCATTCTTCTGCTTTGTTGCTGATTCTTTTTGGGCTGGTTGTGAAAAATGGTACATTTTTCATAATTACATAATATACATAATTTTGTAATTTTCATTGTACATAATAAAAATTCTTATTTTTATTCACACCAAAGTCCAGATGGATTGAACACAAATACTCACAGAAGTTAGTAATGAGCGTATGTTTTCAGGACTAGGCTTTAATATAATCAAATAAAAATGATCTACATCTCCACATACAGTTGCCTAGTATTTTTCGGATTCTATTTCACTTGGTTTTGTTTGTTGTTTTTTTTTCCCTTTGCTTTCTTTTGCATGTATTTAGGCAACAGCAACAGATAAGGTGAGTCTGGCAGTCTTTAAAACAGAGAAAAAAAAATCTCCCTGAATCCTGCCTCCTTTCCCCCATTTACTCGTAGAAAAGAGTTTAGAATTTTTATGTGGTTATCATGACCTTAAATGTGTATTTAAAATATTTTTGTATTTGTATTATTAGAACAATACACATACAGATAATTTGGGTTGTATGATAATTTTTATTTTGAGTGTTACCCCTTTAATATTAGGCTTTTATTCCAGTATTTGGCAGTGGGAAGTGGGATTTCAAATTTGAAATGCAGTATTATGTTAATGTTTTTGAGAAACCTAAATGCATCATCTTTAAAAATAAAACATCTGTTTTGGGTGGTAATATTCATAACATTATTTCTTTCTGATTGATATGAAGGTCTTCTAATTTTCAGGGATTTTCATTGTCAAACTCTTAATGCATCCTCTTCATTCTTATGGGTAGCATCATCCAGTTAGTTTAATCATACTTAAAAGGAAAAGTGTTTAAAATTTTCAGTGCTTTTTTTTATAAAATGCCATGCTTTTTCACTGTCCCTTTTTTTTAAGAGCTTTTCCTCATTAGTCCACATCTGTCAACAAGGGGGAAAACATGAAGAGTATTCACATCCTCTGGTTTTAAGCATCTAAGTCAGGTACCTATGTCTCAGTCTTTGAAGTCTTTTCCTTTCCATTGATGAAAAAAGGAAGTTTTGGGCTTTGATAGAAGGTGATCTAAACCGGCCTAAACTAGATGGTGTGAATATCCTTTCTGTTTCACAATTTGTGTTGCCTGGGCTGAGGGATGACCTGGAATACCCTTACAGCGCAGGAAACAGAGAGCCATCACAGCTGGGCTTGCCCTGACTATTTTGTTTATCTTTCATGATTCCTGAACTCTTCATGGAGATACAGGGCTATTTTGTTGATTTTGGCAAGCCAGGTAGACAGTTCAAAGTCAGTAGTAACAACTTTCTGAAGAGAGAACAGCAGGACATATTAGTGAAAAACTCCTAGAAAATTGGTCTCTTGCATAATTTCAGGCTGAGCTTTCACATTTTATCCCTATTTTTCTAGATAATAGGGAAGTGGGAAGAGAACGTGACAAAGATTTTACAAGCATTTGATTCTCTGAACAACTTTATTCCTCCCAAATTCTGGGCTACCAGCAGGAAGGTTAATCTTGTCCTGAGTCATGGTAAAGAGTAGAAACACGTGGCCAGAGTAGGAAGAGGTGCAGAGATGATGATAGGGAAGCCACAGCCTCAGGCTGAATTACTCTATTTCATTGGCTTTTGTGGCTCTTAACAGTTTTGTTTCATACAAAAGCAATTGTAAGACAGCAGGGCATTGGAAATATGTTTAGAGCATACTCAGTGTAGGTGTTTATTCTGATTTAAGTCAATAGTAATCCTATTCTGCTTCAAAAAACCTATTCACACCACAAAGTCTTTATTTTCAATTTTGTTATTGAACATATTTAAAATTATTGAAACCCACTTAATTCCTAGTGTACATGCCAACAAGCGTGTTCAAAATATTTTTGCTGCCTGAACTGTAGCCTAAACTATATTAGCTAATATGTTTTAACAGTATTGTCATGTTATCAGACTTGAAAAGGGAAGAAATGTCAGGTTTTTCCTAAATGTTTTTCTGAGTTAGTGTGATTTCCTTAAGGTTTAAAAAAATTAAATGCAAAAGTCATGAAAATAGAAAGCAAGGGTGTAGTATTCTTACCGCTAGGTTTTTCTAGTTGTTAATTCTAAACATAAAATGTACTGAAAATATCACAAAGGAGACAGAACTTTTGAAGCTCTGATTTACTTTTCAGCAGGTTCATAGTCTGTTCTACAGTCAAGTAATTTTTTTTCCTTTCTCTTTCATTTGTAGTACCTTTATGATGAATGTGCAGTTAGTGTTATTGTCAGCATCATGGTTCCAATACAGTTGTTTGTGAAGCCAGCTTCACATTTGCCAGGTTAAAATACTTTTGTTTACTCTACAACCAGTGCTTTTGGTTTCCACAGGTAGTGACAGGGACACCAGTGATGAGGTCGTAAAGCGACACTATGGCAAGAGTTCATTACTGGCTGAGACGCTGAAAACTAATGATTTATTCAGCCACACTACCAGTCTCACCTAATCACAGCATCAGCTTTTCCGTAATGAAGGAGTTCTGAGAAATAATTTAGTGACTCTCTAATAAGAGACTTTGTCGAGGTCCTCAAACCAGGACAGACTTAGACTTTGGTGCCATAAACGGCACACTGAGAAGTGTTGTGTTGTTATACATTATTTTCAGGACTTGCATACTCCCTTTGAGAAATTATTTGTAGCATGATAATAAATATTTGAAGTTTTAGGAGTTGCATTTTTTTTTTTTAAATTCCAGGATCAAACTATGTGGGCATGTTTAGCTGCTATGGCAGTTGCCAACAAAGACATGGCTACAGCAGAAATCGCCTATGCATCAATTGGTGAGGTAAGAAAATGGTGTTATTTATTCCCAGTGAAATTGTTGCAAAACTAATTTTATGAATTAATTTCCCTTATTAAACTTTTGTACGTCTCGTTAACAGATTGACAAAGTTCAATATATCAATTCCATCAAAGATCTTCCATCAAAAGAGTCAAGGATGGCTCATATCATGCTGTTCAGTGGAAACACCCAAGAAGCTGAAACCCTGCTTCTTCAAACAGGCCTTATTTATCAAGCTATTCAAGTCAACATTAATCTTTACAATTGGGATAGGTACTATTTCTTCAAACATAGTATGTTTATAAGCAGTATTACTGAGGTAACATGTAAATTACTTAGATCAGTTGTTCTCTTGCAGTTTTTTAGCTGACTAATTTCCTATCTGTAATTGCCCAGAGCTGTAAAAAGATTAAGTTAATCATATCCTGACAATAACCAAAGAACTAACTGGTTTTGTATCATATTTAGAAGATACAAATATTCTGTGATAAACGTCCAAAACATGCTTGGAAGGATTTTAAAGTAACATTTTGCTTTTCCGTTATTTTTAACACAGAAAAGTCCTTCATGGTACCTCAAACTGTATGTGACCCTCAAAGAATTAAGGCTGTTTTGAAATGTCTTGTTGCTAAAAATAGATATGTGGCTATTCAGACTCCCAGCACTGTGTAGGTGGATGAAATATGAATTAGGCCTGAGAAAACAAAGTAGGAATTTCTCCTTTAAACAAAACCCCACGTTTTCTAACAGAATCTTCTAATTTCTCTGCTATTATATTTATATCACTGTAGGCAAAAAGTTGTTTTTCCCCATGTATCTGAGGGGTTTTTTATTATGTTGCCTAATACGTACCATTTAAAATCTGTATCTCAAACAGAAGTACATACTTATTCCTTATGCCATTGAGAAGAAAACAGATGTCAGAGTAATTCAATGACTAATCTTTCCCACCTATAGAATATTCATAAATGCTATAAATGCTGTGTAGCATACACCATAAGTGTGTATATGACACTGTTCAGAAGTGATTCCTGACTATAACAGAGTTATTAAAAATTATTACTTCTGCCCCTTTATACTGAGAGTGCTAAATTCTAACCATCCTGCTTTATTTCTTGGAAATGAAAAGACTCTTCTTCTCAAAATCCAAAGATGTGATGAGGTTGTCAACAGAAATAATTGTTGACTATCTTTCATAGCATGCATCATAAAGCGGAGAGTCTCCCTCGCTGGCTACTTTTAACCTCCTGTGATTGATACTAATGTAAAACTGCTTGGCACTATAGATTAGGAATCTTTGCCTGCAGCCCAAACGCTTTTCAGCGTATCGTTTTGCAAAACCGTGGTGATTGTAGTTGTGCCAGAGCATTTCTATAGCCTGACAAGCCCATTTCTGTTTCATTCCAGGGCTCTCGAACTAGCGGTAAAGCACAAGACACATGTTGACACGGTCCTGGCTTATCGACAAAAGTTCCTTGAGGACTTTGGTAAAAAAGAGACGAACAAAAGATTTTTGCAATATGCAGAAGGTGTAAGTATTCCTCAGAATTATTCCTGCAGCTTTAGGTCAGCCTGCTCTTTGTAGCCAGTTTAGGGGGGTACGAGGGGAATTGCTCTTACATTTTCCTTCTTTGGTTCAAATGTGGACATAAATCTTAAGACTTTTATATCTGAGTAAAAGTTCATAGCTTAATGTGTGGCTACTTGGCTAGTAACAGTTGCACATGTGTCCATTTCTGGGCTCCCCAGTTCAAGAAGGACAGGCAGCTGCTGGAGAGGGTACAGCAAAGGGCTGCAGAGATTATTAGGGGACTAGAACATCTCTCTTATGAGGAAAGGCTGAGGGACTTGGGTCTTTTTAGTCTGGAGAAGAGAAGATTCAGGGGGGGATCTGATCAACACCTATAAATACTTAAAGGGTGGGTGTCAAGAGGATGGGGCCAGTCTTTTTTCAGTGGTTCCCAGTGACAGGACAAGAGGTAACGGGCACGAACTTGAACATAGGAAGTTCCATCTAAACATGAGGAGGAATGCCATTTACTTTGAGGATGACAGAGAACTGGAACAGGCTGACCAGAGGGGTGGTGGAGTGTCTGTCTCTGGAGACATTCAAAACCTGCCTGGACATGCTCCTGTGCAACCTGCTCAAGGTGGACCTGCTCTGGCAGGGGGGGTTGGATCATCCTCAGGGATGATCTCCAGAGGTCCCTTCCAACCCCATGTCATTCTGTGATTCTGAGATTCTGTGTGTTTTATTTGAAGGCACAGATACAGAATGTATATATTTAGTATCTGGCAAGGATTACACAAATGAAGGCACAGTTGTTTTCTATAAACAGGGAGCTACAGACCTTAGTATGGTTGAATCTGTAATTCTTAAATGTCTTCAACATTTTTATGTAATTTTATGGATAGCAACAATAACAAATGTTGAAGGTATCCAGATATATATTAAGAGTTGACTACGAACCATTCTGCCAAATATGATAAATAGCTAGATTTCAATTTCATCAAACCTCTGGAAACTCTCTCCATCAGTAGGTCATTTCAATTTATTAGCAGTTCACAGATCTCAAAGGCTGAGGACAGATCTTGCAGTTCATAAGCTAGAAGTATCTTAGATTCCAGTGGAGAACTTCTGCGCATTTCCCCTTATGAGAGGCACCCACACGTGCACCCTGGAGAGCAATTCCACTGAGCAGCCCTGATGTCCTTCCTGCTCTTCCCCTCACTGTTCCTAAGTGTTCTGAGGGGGAAACTGTAAAAAGAGTTGTGCACTTTGACTGCGTCACATCCTTTCATCCACTGTAGCTGATGGATGAGGAAATAACTCCAAGCTGTTAGCTCAACTCCTTTGATTGGACAGTGCCCATTACACTTTCAGTAAAGCTTGATTTCTAATGTAAGTCATTAGCTTTTAGCACTTGTAGGGATGTTTCATTTCCTAAATGAGAATAAAATTCTGCACAGTATCTAGCCCCCCAATGAACCATTCTGCAGCACTTTACCTAGAAAATACAGAAAAATAACAGAACAGTTTCCAAGCACTCTTAGGCAGCAATTTTGGCTACTGTGCTGGAAGTATGACTTCTACATACTTTAAATCCATTACTGAGCAAAAATAATGCTAATCCCTTGATGCATTTGACAGAGACTTTTGAGATAATACTGTCTTGTCTTTAAATAATCAAGAAAGCTGTAGTTTCTGGAAGGGTTCCTGAGCAATAACACCTTGTGTGACACTAGTGGAGCCTGTTTCACCTTCAACTCAGTCTTGAAACTTGGGTGTCAGACTGCAGAAGGTTCCTGGAGTATAGAAGTCCTTGAGCTGTATTCTGCATCCATGTTCTGGGTCTTGTCTGGTGGACCTGAAACTGTGAGGGAACCTACTTAATGGATTTTAAGTTCTTGGTTTACAGTGCTAATTAAATTCTTAATGCAGACTGTTAGACTCCTGTAGCAAAGTTAGAAGGAAATATTAAGGGCATCGAAGAGAAAAGCAAGATTTTGTGCTGCTGCTCATTCTCAGGGAAGGAAAAAAAAAAAGGGGTCTCAATTTCCCTCTTACCACCTAAAACTCCTTCAGGCTTGAGTAGGGAGCTCTTACATCTTTTCTATAATGCAGCTGAGACCACTGACCTGCAATCAGATACGGAATCTAAACAATGTGCTTAGTTGTTACATCTCACATCTTTATATATAAGGTATTACGAACCTGATATGTATACTGAGAATCCATATCTTGGCAGTTACTAGGTGTCACTGGCAAGGGCTGTTGGCTTCACTGGCAAGTAGCTCTGTGGGCTAGATGGCAGAATTAGCCCTGTATGTGGTATGTTTAGCATCTGTGTGACATCTGTTAAAGCAAACACATTCTTTCTTAGAGCTCCATAAAGATTTCAGTCATCAGATCCAAAGCACCTGGAGCCAGTAAATGCATCCTGAATTGAGGGATTAACCTTTTCACATGAGAATGTGGGTATTGCAGTTACATCTTCCCTCGCAGAGAATCTTCCTTGTTATTTCATGACTTAGTTAACAGAGTAACAGCTACTCTGAAAATTCCCTGTGCAGCAGTTGAGATTTTTTTCCCAGCCCATCTTTGACAGTCTTAATTCTCCTGCAATGAAACTGAACTTCGCAATTACATTTTTGCCCAGTTTTTGGACATGTTTTCATAGTCACTAAATGCACCGTGATCCGTTCTTTCTCGTCAAGCATTTTTGGAAAGAAAGACAACTATTGTGCCCCTCTGTACCACGGATATTGTGCTATATCTATTGTCTGAAGTTTCACTGAAATAGAATACAGCCAGAATATGACGATTCTCTGCGGCTGGAGAAATGCCAAGATAAAGCTAAAACATTTATTGATGTAGAAGACAAATTTCAAGCAGAAATCTGATTTCTGTTATATCAGATAACTAGTGTAATATGCTATCGGTTTACTTGGTGGACTTTAGGTGCAGTCAGAAGACATCATTGCATATATTATTGATAAAGGGCTATATTCTCAGTAATAGGACACAGATGTCATTACATTTAAATTAGATGCAAGTTGATCCAAGTTATTTTGGTGTTTCAGTGTTTTTTGCCAGATGCAATGAGATGTAGTAGTATTTGTTAAAATATATCAAGCTTGTTTTATTTTAAAGGTGGAAAGCTCAGTTTGTTAGAACCCAACTGTGCCTTCAGACATTCTCTTAGTATCAGTTGTCACTTATACAGAAAGAACTATATAATGATTGATAATGTGGTCAACTTCAAACTGTCCTGTCAGTGAATATCTATCTGTTTGACCTCTCTATATAATGTCAGTTGACCTCTGCATACTCACTTTTCTGTTCTTACAGCTGGAAGTTGATTGGGATAAAATCAAAGCCAAAATAGAGATGGAAATCGCTAAAGAAAGAGAACGAGCAGCAGCCAGCCCCGCAGCGAGAGCTAGTGTAACTGTGCAGCAGTAACTGTCCTTCTGGTCACCTCTTCAGTGCTTCTGGATTAGTTTGTACTGGCATATTTTGACAAATATGAATAAAAAAAAAGCCACAGCAAACGTTTTGTGGGAACGGGACTGAGAATTGGTGTAGTTCTTGCTATTTGTTGGATGACAGGCAGAATTCTTTATTTGCTACAGTCTCATTTTGAGCTGGGTGTACGTTCTGATGCCCTAGCTCCAGTGAGTAACCACACTGCAGTCCATAATACATGTATGAGGAAAAAATGGGAATTAACTGTCTTTCCATTAGTGGCTTTTAAATTTTCATTGCCGTTAAAATTAACCATGGTTGCCTCTAATTAAGTATCGGTTTCCCTGTTTAAGCACCTAGTTAAGTAGTTTGGCTATTTCTGCAGCCTCAGGGACCTCTGAAAAGACGTGTTTAAATTGCCTTGAAACAAATTTAGCAAACTGTTAAGTGTCGAATATTAAAAAAGGAGTTTGCACCAATAAAGTACAGAAGAATATTTCACTCGCAGTTACAGTAATCCATATTTCTGCTACTACATATATACTAGCAAGTACTTTAGTAGAGGATTCAGATTACATCAGCAGTTCAGGTTTGTCACTGTAGCAAACTATTTAGCAGTAAAGGGTATTTTCTGAGATAATGTAAATTATTTAAAATACTATGGAATGCACTTTGAATGTTGTTTGAAATAACAAACAGCATTGTTGGTTGGTTTTGTAGTGTCTAACATGTGTAACTGACAACAATATTGGGAGCTTCCTTAAGGTTAAAATGTCATATTCATTTAAAATAAGGAAGAGCTTCCCATATATTTTCTCTGCCCGAAGCACTTGATTTGAAAATACTGGTTTTACATTTGTGTTATTTCATCAAGATATATTTTTCTTTGTTTTACCTTTGAAAGTGGCTGCATTTGTTAGATGGTCTTTGCAGAAGCCCTTTGCATTATAAATATATGAGCAGGTTATTCATAATTGACATTGTGTAATATGTATCTTTCAGATATTACCATCAAAATGTTCAAGATCTGTATATCTGGCAAATATCTGTTTTGTAAAGCATTTTTTGACACTTTTTTGCATAGTTCATAAATTTCTTAATAAAAACAAATAAAGGCTTGTTGGGTTTTTTTAAAAAATGTATCTAATAGTTGATGCATTAGGTGATCTCCATTGATTTACCTGACTGCTAAATAAAACAACAATTTTGATGCAGCTCATTTGAAGCACACCAGAATCCTGGTGTTCTGACATGTGGCAAAGTGAACACCTTCACCTTCCATTGACTTGCAGAAAGCACTTACTAGTCCCAGAGTTGAGCCCAAAATACCGCTAATGGCAAGTGTTTAATGTTAAATTTATGAAGCCTGGCTCAGATTTGTAATGCAACGTAAGCAATTTTTAAAGAGGGGTTCTAGTGATGATACAAAGTTCAGGGTTTCAGCTCAATCTTGTTCTTTTGTTCCTGGGCCAGTTGGAAGTCCAGCAGAGGCAGCAAATTCACTCAGCTTCTTGAAAATGCCTGGTGCTACAATTAACTGTTGCACAGATGGAGGTAAGAGAGGGATGGATGCTGGGAGGTAAGAGAGGGATGGATGCTGCCTGCCAAGGTGCTGTCTTTGACTCAGTGCCCTTCAGGCTGATGTTGGTGTCACTTGCAGAAGGTGGTACCGTGGTCCTTCGAGCTGGCTCTCCACATCTCAGTACCAATGAAAGGTGTTGTATCTGTAGGTGATGGGAAAGGCTGTTTAGTTCCTGGGCCAAAGCACAGTAAAGACCTTCAGGTATTTATCACTGATCCCGTCTATTTTTTCCCCACCCATAGTCCTGAACTATGTGCCAGGCCAAGTGTGTTTGTGTTAAATAGAAAAAAAAAACAACAAACCAAGTATTTTGGAAAAGCAATGTTTATTCTTTATTTTCACCAGGTTCTAATATGCAAGTAAGCTTGTTACTTGCACAGTTCTAACCTTGAGTATGAAATCTAAGTTTCAGAACATTCTCAGAAGAAAACATTCTGATGTGGCTCACGTGGAATTGTTGCAGAGTCTTTACACACCACAACTGCAATTTGAAAAAAGGTGCCAGGTGTCCAGTCCAAGACATTGTTGTGCTAGTTCGTTTGGGGATTTTAAAGTTCTGCATTCCATTTGTCTGTGCCTCTTTTCAGTCATTTTCAATAGTTCGTTTAATGACACCTACTAAGTAAAAATAAATCCCAGAAGGGTACAGATTTTTCAGGGATATTTACAACAAGCTACAACAAACCTTGTGTACCTGCTTCCATGGGCCCTTTCTGATGTGCTCAGGTAAGATTTGCGTAATAGCAGGTGCAAAGTAAGATCAAAAGTATTTTCACCCCATTTCTTGTGCCCGTGTCACATTACCTCCGTGTCCAAACCCTGATGTGAAACCTCCCAGAGCTGTAAATGAAACAGCTAATCAATTACTGACTGCGGTATTGTCCAGTGCAAGAATATGGATTCTTCAATGATTTAAGAATGCCGATTTTTAAAACAGGTAGCACCCTATTTAATGATTGTCTGTTTGCTTTAAAACATCATAAACCCATTTAAGAAGTAGGAACTAACAGGAATGAAATTTCATTGGTTTAGTTGCTGTTGTGGTGGCTCAGTTACTCAAACAGAACCCTAATTTTGCCGTAGCAGTAGTTCGTGTACTTCATTTGACCTTGACCACAGTGGGTTCTCTCTGGTTCTAAGAAGGGAGGTTCAGATGGATATGTGAGAGATGCATCTTTAAGTGAGGCGAAAGTAAGAACTAAGACAAGTGTTTAAAAGCCCTAATTGAATTAGGAAAGGAATATACAGTTTTTACATCCTGGTCTTCATGCCCTGTCCATCAGCTCTTCAGCCATGGATGGAGGTTGCAGCCCGTTCCCCGTGGACAGGTCTCTATTCATGGTACACAGTGGCCACCCTACGTTTCTAGAGATGGCTGGCAGTGGTGATTGCAACGAAGAGCAGTGGAAAGAACGTTTTAGGAATATCCTTTCTGGTTTTGACAAAAAAATTTTGAAGTACTGCTTTAATCTTTGCTTTACACCACATTTTAACTATTGGTTTGGCTCCAATTGTTCCACCTATGCAAGTGATTGAAGAAACCTTCTTCATTTTTTACCTCCAGCTTGATTTTTTTTATGATTTGCATATATTTAGTAGTTCAGAAGAAAAAGGTAATTTTTTTTTTTTTTGTTCTGGTCTTTTAAGACAATGAGAATTTGAGATCTATATTGGTCTGATGGATTTTATCCTTTGGAGCTGGCGCGGGATGAAGCTTGGAATTCATCTGACGTGAAAACTTAATTCCACGGTTTACGTCGAGTCATTTCCTGCTGCAGGAAAATAAACATTCATCTCTAAAGGATTCTGTGCAGGAGAGGACTCTGGGGATGCCACATTTGTGCTAGAGGCCAAAAGCTGCGTTGCAGAAGCATCTTTGAGGGAGAAGAGAGGTAACAGGAGGTGAAGGTGGTGCTGGAGCGCGTCCGGGAGGTTTGATTCTGTTTGTGGCTCCATTGTGGGATCTCTCTGCCTCGCTCCTTCCATCTGCAGATGGGAGTAATGTATTTAGGGGATGTTGCAGAACTGGGTTTTGGGTTCTAAGAAGTTAATGTCCATAATGCACTCAGACAGCGGAAGGGATGGTGAGTCACCACTTCAAAGGTTTTCAAACCCCAAACCAATAAATGCTAATGAATGTCATGGCACTTGATGAAGATGGCCAGAACTATTATCCCCTTATTGACAGATGAAGTGACTTGCCCGTGGCCATCCAGCAGGCCTGTGCAAGTTGGCAACAAGACAAAGCCACCTCTTCAGCTGAGCCCTACCTGCTGATCCAGGCAGCTCTAAGGAGACCATCCTCATCCCCACTAGAAACTGGGATAAGTCCGTGAGGGCTATTAAAATGCCAAGGAACCAGCCTGCAAAGCAGACTACAAGACTGAGTTATCACTGAATTCAACAGAAACTGCCCAGATAGGATTTGATGGAGGTTTTGGAGCCAGGAGTCCAACGAGATCCATGTGGGGTGAGCACAGCTGGAGGAGGCTTCATGGGCTCTGCCTTGGGTGGCAGGGGATTTCATCCAAGCCTATCAACCTGCATTCTGCCAAAAAGGTAAAATTCACTGTTGTAGATAACAAAAAGTGTCCTACAATCCTCTGAGACACAGTCTTTGGTATTTCTTCAGAAAATATATAGATTCTATTTAATAGGGAATGGCAAAAGGTAAAAGGAGGGAAGGAAGAGCCATCCATTGAATTACAATGCGTCAGTACTTCCGATCCCAGAAGGAGCAAAATAAGAACCAAAAATTGGTGTTACACTGGCAGAGTGACTCTTGGCAACGGCAAATGCCTCAACGCTGTGAAATGCACTCCTTTTCAAGCAGTAGAGCAATTTGAGAACTGTATCCTTCTGGCTTTGATGTGATTTTGGGGGCTTATCTGGTAAATCTGCCTGAAAAATAACTTTAAACCACTGTGTTTGGTTTGGGCCCCCTAATGGAAATTTACAGTTTAAGAAAAAAAAAACTGGGAATTTTCATCATTTCTAGAATAGAAGGCATCATTTTGGGAAGATACTAATCTCAGAATGATACCTTTGCTGCAGGTACAAGCTTTTGAAGCCTACAGGATCCATCAGTCAGTTTAACCACGGTACAAGCAGCACACAAATGTGCCAGTAAAGATTCTGCCACATGATCTGTGCTTGTCTTCGGGGCTAAGAAGAGCTGGTGAGGAGCTAAAGCTCGTTTGCAAAGGACTGGTGTCTGCCACTTGTTTTCCTGCTTGAAACCTCTAATAAAACGTTGATGTGTGGAAAAAGTGGCAAAAATGCTTGGAAATGGGAGTGATCTGCCTGGTGATGGAGCTGCCCTCAGCCTAGTGAGACGGAAAGCGTCCAGGTGATGATGGAGACATGGCTTCTTAATAATGTAAATAAGGTAGGAGACATCTTCTTGAGCTTTCACTAAGTGAGCATGCAAGCCCCAGACAAATAAACCATTGCAAATGATTACTCTTTCAGGAATTCAAGTTTTTTTGGGGGGTAGACACATCTGCAATCAGTGAAGAACTCATTTGTTCATCAGTTTTTCCAAAGCTCTTGCGACTCATCCTACTTTCATTGCAGATGTTAATCAGTGGGTTTCCATGTAAATTAACCAATCTGCATATTCATTCCTCTTCAAAGTAGAACATACAAAGTTTTGTGTAGGTACAAAACAGATATGTGGCACCGTTTTACTCTGTTTCACTTATTGGCTGGTTTGTATTGTTGACTGTGGGGATCAGGTCAGCCCATTGCACTTGCTCGTCCACAGAAAGGAGAACTGAAAATAAAAAAACTCAAGGCCAACTGTCGTTTTGTAACAGAGTTAAGAGTTAGAAGAGGCTTAGCTAAGAAGTAAAATTGCTGAACAGAAAGTTGGTTCTGTTCTACCACAAACCAGGACACCATCTCACATTCATTCAGCGGCTCCAAAGTCAGGTGACATTTCATGATGCAGTAAATGCAGTTGTGTTACAATTGTTGATCTGAATATATACATTATTTGAATTCAACGGCTGTAACATTACGTGTGGTTTTATGCAATCAGTGCAATATATAGATGATTGCGCACCGAGCTGTATGTTAATATAAAGAGAACATGGCAATTACCTATTCAGCAGCCATCACTATTGTCTGGCCATCACCCATCTTCTCCCGGGATCATCTCTTTGCCTTCCCATAAAATTTGACATACTAATGCATCCCCTGCGCTGATATTTTACTCTGTAGAGTGTGGAGAAAAGTTGGGGAGAAGAAAAGTTTTTGTGAATTGATTGTCTGTAAGAATCTTTATTTCCAAAGTATATTTTTATTGATCCAATTCAGCCAAATGTTGCCTCACGCTATAAAATTTCAAATATGGAAATGTAAACTATCTGTTTGTTTTAATTCAGGTACCTTCACCCTACTGTAAATGTTTCTAATGAGGGCTAAGTGCTTCATATGGAAATGCAATGGTCTGATATCTTCAGGGAAATAGAGGGATACGCTCTTTCTCTGCACGGAGCTAGGCAATGTGCCTGGAGCAATTAGATGAAATGGATGTACAAAGGATATCATGT